TCCCTCCGCCAACTTCAATACATTTTGACAGTTCCTGAACAAGTTGACACCTGTCAATCAACCCATTTATCATTCAAAGATAATTTAAAAGTGTAACAAGGAAGGGTTGATTTGATCGAATGCGAGGCAAGAAGCTCGCCTAGATGTCAAAACTTTTTTGGGCGTGTCTGAAAGAGTTGTATATAACTGAAGGGAAATTTGTTACGGATGGGTGAAGCTGAAAGGAAAATTGAAACGCAAAAATTTAAAAATTATTTTTTAAAATTATTTTCAAAATGTGGTTTATAGCAGTTATATTATTCATTTTTTTATTGTCATCTTGGGTCAATTCGTTAGCTGCTGAAGTTGATAAAAAGTATAGAATGATAGGGGAGCCAAACAACCCCATGTGCTTTGTTTCTGAACCTACCTCAGTACTAACCAACATACGATCCTCACTAGAATGTTCTATCAAATGTTCTCATTATGTTTCTCCCACTGATGGTAACATTACTTGCAACGCATTCAACTACGTATCCAACAATGCTAGTCATCCGGCTAAATATTGTCAACTCTTTCACTTCACTTGCGATGTTCATTACAACATTGTTCTCAACGTTAGCCGTTGTCGAGCTTACGAGGTTTGTTTTTTATAAATAATAAGAAATTTGTGAAATAATTTATGACCATGTAAAATAATTAAAAATAGAACGTGAAGGCAAGACAAGAAGCAAGTGCAAGTAAGTGGACTTTAGTTTCTTCATTGCATTGCAGTTATCAAAAATTTTTAATGAATTTTTAAAAAATGTGATAATATAAATATTGGTAAGAAAAATCTTGAATGAATGGAAAAATATTTTTTTATTTTATATATATTTTAATATATATAAAATATTATTTTATGCTTTAATTTAATTCACGAACTTAAATATAAAAATAATAAAAAAAGTTGTATAAAGTAGATGCCTGTATTTTAGAGACGCTTCGAAATTAAAGATTTAAAAAACTTTTTAGCGAAAAATTACCCTACGACTCTGAGCAAATCCTGCAACTTTCCATTTACCTTCAACGGTGGATTGTTCTACTCTTGTTCCAACTCACTACCTGGCATCAGCAATCCTTGTGCTCTCTACATGTGTCTCACTGATAACAGGACGTTGTCCGTCTGTCTTGATCCTCAAGGTTTCAAATGTCGTCATTATTTACTTGATTTATAATGATTGAAAATGAATATAACAAAAGTTTTTAATTTATTTACATGCGGAACATTATTAATAATTTGTTGCCAGCTTACAGCGGTGTCAACTCGACAGTTCAGTTGAACATTCCAACGTTTGCCAATTCAACTCCAGTCACATCTGTCAATGGATGGATAGTCATTCAGCAGAGGATTGATGGCTCGCAGAGTTTCAATCAAAACTGGAACGTTTACAAAGTATGTAATTGTGCGAATGTCTTCAATTGAATAATTTCTGCGAAATCTTAAAAAATTCATAGTCAGGTTTTGGAAATTACATTAAAAACTTCTGGTTGGGTCTGGAGAAGATGCACCAGTTAACGACATCGGCTGATTACAGGTTGAGATTTGAAATTCTCATCAAAGGCTCGTGGTACTCAGATGAATATGACCATTTCAAAGTTTGTATAATAAACAACGAACTCTATTTTTTAAATTATGTTTATACGTTTGTGTTCATTTTAAGATCTTTTTTTGCTTAAACGTGTATTAATTTTTAATACTTTTAAAAAATCAAGATAAATTCAGAATTAGAAAAATATTCTCTGAACGTTTCTGGTTACTGCGGGGATAGGATCAACATTTTAATTTGCCCTGACATGAATGTGCGACACAACGGCATGAAATTCTCCACTCCTGACCGGGATAACGATCTATCATCAGGAAACTGCGCTGCCCACTACATCTCAGGAAACTGGTTCAATAACTGCGCTCATCAACTCGTCAATACTCCCTATAATTCAACCACTTTCCTCTATACAGGTTCGCAAATTACTTTGTGCAGGATGATGATGAAGCGTAACTTTTGAGAAGTCTATTCAAAAAGATTTTGTAAGAAAGCTATTAATTATTTAAGAGTTGATCAATTCAAACAAATTTATAGCAAATGCAAAAAATTCTTATCCAATAACTTATAATTTTCTTAAAAGTTTAAACTAGCAATGCTTTCGTGATATGAAATTTGTGGAAATTCGCTTTAAAATATTTTCATTTCCTAAGTATATTTGAATGGATATAACATTCTGAACAATAACATGTCCAGTTTTTAATTTTCATGACAAGGCATATGTGATATTTTGAAGATGTTGATGTTTGGATATTATTAATAATAATATTTGTGGCTGAATGATCTACTAAAACTTCAAATCATTATTATCGGTTATGTTTTATACTATATCAGTGGTGGGCAAACTTTTTTTGTGAGGGCCGCATTGAGAACTATTTTATCTTTGAAGGACCGCATATGTATTTAAATAGCAAATATTTTTGACCAGGAGGATAATTTATTTAAGATTTGTGGTTCCTTTTTTTGGCCATAGCTTCGCGGGCAACATGCGGCCCGCGAGCCGTAGTTTGTTGTGTTACGATGATTCAAGCTAATCATGAGTGAGCATTTATGTATGCTTATTTCAATCTAATTTTTACATAATTTATTTCTTTATATCTAGAGAAACCTTTTTTATATTAACTATGATTTTTTTTCAACGTGAAACTTGTGCAACTTGTAAACATTTATTGTTAATATAAGTAAATTAGTATTTAATTTTAGTTACATTTAGTGTATAGTTCATTTACCTGATAACGCTGAAATACTTAGAGATCGTTTGTGAAACACATAATTGAATTGATGATTTGATGAATGTTTTAACACCGAAAAATTGCATTTCTTATGATTTATAATTTTTTGTAGAAAAAAACTCAACTTTTTGAATTATTTATGCTATTTAATGTAAAATTTGTGCAACTTGTGACAGTTTTGCTCAGTACTTTCGAAAAAATTAATTTAAATTAAAAACATGAAATTTGTATATCCTATCTCTGTTAACATTTAGCCACATTTAATGGTAAAAGTGATGACACATGTACATTTAAACTATTCTTTTCTACTGACAAAATAAAAATTCTCCTACAATGGAATCATTTTGCGTCAAATAATTATTCCTTGAAGTAACTAATCAAAAAGAAAAGCGTTATTACATTTACGGGTAACTTTTCTAAATGTATAAAAATTGTTAAATGTGCCAGAATTCATCGCAACGTACTTGTATATATTAATACTAGCTCTACCAGCACAGCCACGTTTAAGACGCAGGTTGTAGGTACTTAAGCATGACAATCACTCGTCCACCTGATTTAAAAGTTTTTTCAATATGCGAGAGTCTGGTTAAAATTTTTCAAGTTAATTATGTCATTAAACTCAAGTTATTCGTCACACAGGAAACAAAAGCGTCATCAAGTTTATTTAATCATAACTTCATTCCGATGGTGTAAAGTTAAGGTGACCTTTTCACGGTCATTACGATTTAAAATGAAAACTCAAACGTAATTCATCTTCTAAGTCGGGATAATTATGCCAATGCTTGTTTCTTGAGATAAGGATTTTAGGAATTTGTTGTTTTTTTTTATAATTCTCTCTTTTCGAGCCATCGGTAATTTTCTGAATTATGTTTTAAAAATTTTAAGTTGATTTATTTAATTTTTTAAATGATAAAAAGTTCGTTCCTTTTTTCGCATCGCAACAGCATATACAAAATTTTTAACTCCTAATCAGGAGTTTAAAATTTGACTAAGACCACTTTCACGGCTCTATCTGTTTGACACTATTTACCGGGAAGCCTGTTCCGCCAAAGATTTCATCTCTATTAATTTCAAAGCGTTACTTTTCTTATAAACTTTTTTTTGTATCGTGTCATTCTAGCCTGAAGAATGTCGGTTGAGCTTTCCGTGTGAACTCGCTCACATCATGAGAGTTAACATCCATCAAAGTATTTCTAGTCCTAATTTCTTATAATGTTTTTTGGCGTTTTTAATGGTTTATTCGTATCATTTTAATAATTTTGAGAACTGTTGAAATATTGTTACGTGAATACTAATGTTACTAATATTAACTGTTGAAACTAAGTATTTCGTTGTGGAACAGATTCCTTTATTTTCAAACATTTTCTAATAAATAAAAAATTCACAAATTGTTTGTAAAATAAAATATCTAAGGAAATTAAATTGTTTTTGAAAAGTTTACGTACAATCTAACTTTTATTATACCTAAAAATAAATATAAATATATCTAAACATAAACATGCCTAAACAAAAATATTTAAAAAAGTTTAAAACTTCTACAAAGTATATCTTGAAATAGTATAGTTGGTATAAAAAGATATTCACATACATAATTAATATTACATATATGATCACTCCAATGGCAGATGTAAATTTATTCAGTGACAGGGTTTCATTAATTAAATTGAAATAGAGATTTAAAATTGAATGTGTTGTGATTTACGCTTGATCATCATCCTACAGAATGTAACTGGAGATAAAGCATAATGAAAAGTAGTTGTGGCAAACTGGCCATTTATATTTTGATAACCACATTTGGTAAACCAGTTCCCTGATGAATGAGCACAATCCGCTCTAAAAGGATTGTTATTTTCATCGGCAGTTGAAAATTTTTCACCATTTTGTGGGGCTCCATTTGCCAGGTAATTTAAGACATCGCTGTTGTCACCGCTGTATCCTGAAACGTTGAGAGAATATTTTTCTAACTCTGAGTTGATCTAGGATTGTTTTGAGATCATTTAATTTTAATATAATGATATAAAAATAACAACGGCTAGTAAAGGTTTAGCTAAAAGTATGTGAATTATGTTGAATACTCACAGATGTGCTTCATAGAAATTGAATAAATAAGTTATATTAAATATTGGAAATTTAAGCTATAGGGTTAAATATTATATTGAATAATTAAAGGCAAAACATTTTAAACAAAATTTAGCTTGCAAAACACCTTGAAATGATCATATTCATCAGAGTACCACGAACCATTGATGAGAACTTCAAATCTTAACCTGTAATCAGCCAATGTCGTTAATTGGTGCATCTTCTCCAGGCCCAACCAGAAATTTTTGTCATAAATTCCAAAACCTGACTGAAAAATTTTACAAATTTAAGTAAATGCCGAGACGTATTATATTTTTAACGTGAATACTTTGTACAGGGTCCAATTTTGGTTGAAACTTTGAGTATCATCAATCCTCTGCTGAATGACAATCCATCCATTAGCAGACGTAACAGGAGTTGAATCAGAAAACGTTGTAAAGTTCAACAAGTTGGTTTTGTTGACACCGCTGTAAGCTAATCATCAATTATATATTTTGGAAACTATGTGTATTTGAAAATAAAAGCAACATATAAAAGATATATGTGCGTAGGTAGTTGATTGAAGAATAAGCGTTTGTATGATTGCATGTGGTTATTCAGACTCATGAACTCTATCTTATATTTGTATGTGTATATATATTTGATGGAGGAATAAGTGATTATATGATTGCTTTTGGTTATTCAGATTTTTGTATTTTTTAGTTGTTTATATATGTTAAAGTGGCTGTGCCCGATGAGTCACTGGGGGATCCATCCTTACAGTCATCCTATGCCTTAATCTTGTTTTTGATCGAATAAATAAATCAAAATAAATTCACAATATTTGGACCCATTTAGAGGCTAGAAATTTAAGATGTCTATGCAAAATGAAAATTTCACAAATAATGATTGAAAAATTTTTAAATCTAAAAAAACGCGTACATAACTTCATAAATAAAACGAAAATAAACCGATTAAATTAAAAAACTCGTAAAATTGACATTTATTATATGATAAACCTTGAGGATCAAGACAGATGGACAACTGCCTTTTACCGGTGAGACACATGTAGAGAGCACAAGAATTGTTGATGCCAGGTAGTGAGTTGGAACAAGAGTAGAACAATCCACCGTTGAAGGAGAATGGAAAGTTGCAGGATTTGCTCAAGATCAGTGATGGATTATTTGCTATGATGAAATTTTTATTATCATATTGAAAAAGCAAAACTACTGAACTACGTAGCCTGGCTTTAAAATCACTTTTATCGATTCATATTTAAAATATATAAATAAATTTCCAATAAATACAAATTTACTGGTTAAACATTTAAAAAAAATTCTCATAGGCAGTCGAAAAAAAAAGAAAAATAAATTTTCTATATAAGCAAACAAAACAAAAAGACTGCCAACCTAATGCTAGTTGGGCCGCATTATCCTGCGTTCGTAACTAAAAATATTGACATCAGATAAAAATGAATATTTCAAAGCTATGAAAATGTGCGCACAAAACATTTTTTGATAAAATAACATTTAATCACGAAAAATATATCTACTAGCCTTGTAAGCTAGGCAATTATTTTTTTTCAGAACAATCTTGAAATGAACATCGCATGTGAAACGAAACAGTTGGCAATATTTAGCTAGATGAGTAGATTTATTGTACACGTAGTTGAATGCGTTGCAAGTGATGTTACCATCAGTATGAGAAACATAATGAGAACATTTGGTAGAGCATTCCAGAAGGGATCGTATTTTGGTTAGTACTGTGGTAGGTTCGGAAACAAAACACATGGGATTGTCTAGCTCTCTCATCATTCTATATTTCTTGTCAACTGCTGAAGCCAACGAGTTGACCGATGGTAGTAAAAAAATAATTGCGATAAACCACATTTTCAAATGTTTTTCAACAATTTACTTCTCAAATTTTAGTATTTCAAATTGTATTTTAAAATCTTAAATAGTTTTAAATTCAAAACTGTTATTAATTATAAAAATTTTAATACAGTCTAAATTTTACAAGCTTTTGTTTAAATACACTCCATGCTGTATTCAACGTTATGTTTCTCTGGCAAGCATATACTACGATGTCATGCAAAGAGATTTACGCTCTTCAATTTGTTCATTGTTAATTACAACCGACATTACTTAACAATGCATTTAATTCATTAAATGTTTTTTAAGACGATGAACGTTTGATGAGCACACGGTACAATATGCATCATAACATACGTTCTTATTCGTTTTATTGTTCATCTTTTTCTGTTTTTAATTTTTGACGTTTTAATTTTAAGTTACCAGACACAAATGAACTTGAACTACACAAGATGTCGGGTTTTTAAGATCAAAGATTCAAGGTCTCTAATTTTCTACAGTAACTTTTAATTGTAATTAAAAGAAAAACATTCTCTTTATTCAGTTTATTATTTTAAAGATTGTTATAATAGCGTTTTTCAGTATTTTCTTTGAAAAATTTCTATCAATGTTAGCATTTGTTTATTTGGAATATTAATTGTTGTTTTAGTTGTTGTTATATTAACATTGCCGATCGGTGAAATGTTGTTTTTGTTATCATAAAAAGACTCCTTAGTTGAAACTACAAGTATTTTATATTATAACCAAAACAAGATGTTAATTGTTACCAGTGTTACTTTTAACATTTAGCTGTGTGTTTATGTGTATGTTACCAATCAAATTTTTTTGAACTAAACAGTTCTCGGTTAACTTAGGGGAAACTGCATTCAAAAGTTCATAAATTTATTCAATAAACATTGTCAAATTTATGTATTCAATATTTATTCAATAAACATTGTCATCTTGATGTGTGTTATCATATTAACCAGTACCAATCATCATCCTCATCTCAATCCCATCATTATTGGTTGTTTTTGTGAAGTTTGCACACTAAAATTGGTCATCATACATTGGATAATGTCGATAGTATTAAGGACTTAGGTGTAATATTTGATAATTCTTTAAAATTTGTTGATCATATTCATAACAATGTTAAAAAAGCTTATTTTTTGTTAGGTTTAATAATTAGAAATTTTAAAGGTGTTAGTGATCATATTTTTATAATGCTTTATAAATCATTAGTCAGATCTCAACTAGAGTATGCAGCTTGTGTTTGGTCTCCGTGGACAGTACGGGAAACAGAGGTGATAGAAAGGGTCCAGAAAAGAGCAACAAAGTCGATCAAGGCCTGCAAACATATGAAATATGAAGATCGTCTAAAATTGTTGAGCTTACCAACACTGAAATACAGACGCATTAGAGGGGATCTCATCATGATGTATAACTTGTTTAGAGCTAAAGATCAACGTGAACTCCCAGTAATGATGAAAGCTGGGAGACGAACAAGAGGACACGAAATGAAATTGACTGCTCTTCCATTCCATAAGAACATGAGGAAACAATACTTTATCAATAGATCAATTTGTATCTTGAACAATCTGGGTGTCGATGTTGTGAATGCTGATAATGTGAATGATTTAAAAAAATAGTTGGATACTTATCTTATGAATGCCAGATTTATGTACGATTGGGGGGGGCAAATGATACTTGATGTGACATTGGCTATTTGTGAGATTGGGATATATTCCATTTTTTTTTATCAATTTGTTTTTTTTATTATTATCTTTTTTTTTCATTTTACAAGGTTTAATACATTATTTGACTTATAAGAACATTAATTATTTTAAATTTATTCAGTACAGACTCATAGGTTTATTTAATTTATTGTTTTAAAATTGTCTTAGTTTTGAGAAGGCACAGGGACGTTTCGTCTTCGCCTTTGTTTAACGTAATAATAATAATAAATTTCATAACGCACCGTCGAGTGTAAAACTTCAAGGAACATTTTCTCATGAGGAACGAATAGTTACCACGCGTTGTTATTCGCGAACAATGTTCACAATTTGCAAAAACTAAACACCGGAACAAAATATGAAGATACAACAATTATCATCATTAAAATATCATCAGCTTCCTTTCTGCTGTCTGCCTGCCTTCGTGTTTGAGTCGACAGGTGTGAAGAGGTTGGGGAAGAATTTATTGAAAAAATAAATTAATAAATGAATGAGTGAATGAATGAATGAATGAATGAATGAATAAATAAATTAATTAATTAATTAATTAATTGATGAATGGATGAATGAATGAATGCATGAATGAGTGAATGAATGAATGAATGAAAAAGAGAATGAATGAATGAATGAATTAATTAATTAAATTAATTAATTAATTAATTGATGAATGGATGGATGAATGAATGAATGAATGAATGAATGAATGAATGAATGAGTGAATGAATGCATGAATGAGTGAATGAATGCATGAAAGAGTGAATGAATAAATAAATAAATGAAAGGAACAAAAAATTAACGGAGGAATAGGGTAAATTAAAGAATGAATTTATTTAATATTTGACAAATGTGCGGATGGAAAATTTTGCGGACAAGAGTGTTTTTATAAAATTGTTAACAGTTGCTGAAGCAAAAAAAAAATTTGTGAATAACTTTTCTACATTTGTTGCCTCAAGCTTGAAGATACATCTTTTTACAACACAATAAATTTGGTCTATTCGCCATCTAGCGATAATTTGAATTTTATCTGAATTCATGAAAAGCATTAAGTCAAGCAATAAACAAACTACCTGTTCGCTTATATATTATATAATATATATATATATATATATTATATAATTATATTATATAGAATAAATTATATTCGAATAATTTAAAATTGCGTAATTTTGAAGAGCTTGCAAGTAACTGCAGACTTTGGAGCAAAAATTCGCTCGTGAATTTAAGATTTTAAAATGATTTTTCTTGCATTTTTAGCGATTGCAAAATTTTCTTCCGTCATCTTGTCAGTTTCGGCAGCTGACAAGAAGTATGGAATGATAGTAGAGCCAAACAACCCCACGTGCTTTGCCTCCGAACCTACCGCAGTACTAACCAACATACGATCCTTACTGGAATGTTCTACCAAATGTTCTCATTATGTTTCTCCCACTGATGGTAACATCACTTGCAACGCATACAACTACGTATCCAACTCAGCTAGTCATCCAGCTAAATATTGCCAACTGTTTCATTTCACTTGCGATGTTCATTACAAGAACACCAGCAACATCTCCAACTGCATCTCTTACGAGGCTGGTTTAAGTTTTTTGTAATGATTTCTATTTACATTATCTACCTTAGCATTGACATATTTATAATTGATTTCATTGAACGTCATCTAACGGAGTTTCAAATGTAGGACGTCGAAGCCAGGAAAGCACTTGGTGAGCTGTTATGTTGTTTCGTTATTTCAGCTGCATTATAAATTTAATTAATGTTTCGAAACAGCTGTTGAAAATGCCGTTCTGCTGTACTGTGAGTCTTATCATGTTCAATCGATGAAAGTTGTAATGTTTATTGCTATCTCAACTGATTATTTTGACTGTTTTTTGTCGAACTGAATTAAAATCATTAAAAACTACTTTTGGTGATGTGATATGACTATTTTAAAGCGTTTATGACGTTATTACTTATTTGTTTTTTTAAAACGTGAAAACAATACATAATGATTTAGTAATGGTAAAAGTTGATAGGTTAACGGTCCATTACAATCTTCCCATGTTTAGAAGATTTAACAACACACAAGCGTCATATATGAATACGCGCTAAAGCGACGCATGACATGACGCAAGTGATAACTGGAATCTATTTGTCATATTCGAACCAGGTCCCTGCGTAACGGGACCAGGCAACCCTAACCACTAGACCATCACGACGCCCATGTTCTTCACAATTTTTGGTGAAAAGTTTTATAAACATGGATGTTATTAAATATTATTAAAATGTAGAAAAATATTTTACAACATACAATGTCCAACTAGCAAACATTTCCAAAATGACTCTGAGCAAATCCTGCAACTTTCCATTCACCTTCAACGGTGGATTGTTCTACTCTTGTTCCAACTCACTACCTGGCATCAACAACCCTTGTGCTCTCTACATGTGTCTCACTGCTAATAGGCAGTTGTCCATCTGCATTGATCCTCAAGGTTTACTTGACTAATTTTTTATGAAATTAAATAATTTCAAATGGTGTTTCTGAACTTTCCGTTGAACACACACACGTTTGTTTTTATTTAATGTGGCATATCAAAGCTAAACAGTTTTTTGGGCTAAAGAAGCTAAAGAACACCCTACTAAATTTCGTCTTGTTAATTTAGGCTTAATTTCCAAAATATTGCATTAAATGTAGTAAGTTAGAAAAATGATTTTATTTTCGTTTCACATGTTTACACTGAAAATTAGCAATAAATAATTTTTGTAAGCTAAAAAATTACGTGTGCCGTGCAGTAGTAATTATTCAAAACAACTTTACAACAATTTATGTATCTGAGGAGCTATCGATAATTATAATAGTTCAGTTTGCCTGCACCATTAACTAGACATCTTTTCAATTATTATTTTAATATTCATTTATATTCTGCTTAAGCTTACAGCGCTGCCAATGAAACAATCTTGTTGAACATTCAAACGTTTGCTAACTCAACTCCTGTCACATCTGTTAATGGATGGATTGTCATTCAGCAGAGGATTGATGACTCGCAGAGTTTCAATCAAAATTGGACAGAGTACAAGGTATTAATGTTTGAAAAAAAATCTAACTTGCATTGTGAGAATTTGCAAATTTTTGTAGTCAGGATTTGGAAATTACAATAAAAATTTTTGGTTGGGCTTGGAGAAGATGCACCAGTTAACGACATCGGCTGATTACAGGTTGAGATTTGAAGTTCTCATCAGGGGCTCGTGGTACTCTGATGAATATGACCATTTCTATGTTGGTTCCTCATAACTTTGTTTTGTTTGGTTTCATTCTCACTTGTTCAAACCTAATCAAATAAAAAGCTTCCTAAATTAGATTTTACCTAACAATAAACTTTTTAATTCATTAAATTAGACTTTAATTGTATAAATGTTTCTGATTTTCTGTAGAATTTATAAATCAGTAGACCTAAAATATTTTTAGATACGTTCAGAGCTGATGAAGTATTCTCTCAATGCCACTGGATACAGCGGAGATAAATGTGATATCTTGAATAGTCCAATAGATATCTATATCCATAATGGCATGAAATTCTCCACTCCTGACCGGGATAACGATCTATCATCAGGAAACTGCGCTGCCTACTACCTCTCAGGAAACTGGTTCAATAACTGCGCTCATCAACTCGTCAATACTCCCTATAATTCAACCTCTTTCCTCTATAAGAGTTCGCGAATTACTTTGTGCAGGATGATGATGAAGCGCAACTTTTGAGAAGTCTATTCAAAAAGATTTTGTAAGAAAGCTATTAATTATTTAAGAGTTGATCAATTCAAACAAATTTATAGAAAATGCGAAAAATTTTTATCCAATTACTTATAATTTTCTTAAGTTTAAACTAGCAATGCTTTCGTGATGGGAAATTTGTGGAAATTCGCTTTAAAATATTTTCATTTCCTAAGTATATTTGAATGGATACAACATTCTGAACAATAACATGTCCAGTTTTTAATTTTCATGACAAGGCATATGTGATATTTTGAAGATGTTGATGTTTGGATATTATTAATAATAATATTTGTGGCTGAATGATCTACTAACATTTCAAATCATTATTATCGGTTATGTTTTATACTATATCAGTGGTGGGCAAACTTTTTTTGTGAGGGCCGCATTGAGAACTATTTTATCTTTGAAGGGCCGCATATGTATTTAAATAGCAAATATTTTTGACCCGGAGGAGAATTTTTTTAAGATTTGTGGTTCCTTTTTTTGGCTATAGCTTCGCGGGCCACATGCGGCACACTAGCCGTAGTTTGTCCACCCCTGTACTATATGATTACATAATTTGTTGTGTTACGATGATTCAAGCTAATCATGAGTGAGCATTTATGTATGCTTATTTCAATCAAATTTTTACATAATTAATTTCTTTATATCTAGAGAAACCTTTTTTATATTAACTATGATTTTTTTCAACGTAAAACTTGTGCAACTTGTAAACATTTATTGTTAATATAAGTAAATTAGTATTTAATTTTAGTTACATTTAGTGTATAGTTCAATAACATCAATTCAACGCTCTAAAATGTTATACACTCTGACAATCGTTACTACTGACATCAGTGTTACTTTTAACATTCTGCTGTGTGTTTATGTGTATGTTACCAATCAATTTTTTTGGAACTAAACAGTTCTCGGTTAACTTAGGAGAGACTGCATTCAAAAGTTCATAAATTTATTCAATGAACATTGTCAAATTTATGTATTCAATATTTATTCAATAAATATTGTCATCTTGATGTGTGTTATCATATTAACCAGTACCAATCATCATCCTCATCTCAAATCCCATCATCCCTTTAACCATTGAGCCATCATGGGCGGCGTGATGGCTCAATGGTTAAAGGCGCCTGGTCTTGCTATTGCAATGACTGGGTTCGAATACAAAGAGATCCCCGTATATCATACATATGCAATGTGTATGATGCGTGGTTTGCACGCGTATTCAATATTCATATACGCTGTGTGTGTTTGTCGTTGAAACCTCTGAAGCTAACGCAATAGAGAAAGTAACCTTTAACCTTTTTTAACCTTTTATTAGTTGTTTTTGTGAAGTTCGCAGTTTGCACACTATAAATTTCATAACGCACCGTCGAGTGTAAAACTTCAAGGAACATTTTCTCATGAAGAACGAATAGTTACCACGCGTTGTTATTCGCGAACAATGTTCACAATTTGCAAAAACTAAACACCGGAACAAAATATGAAGATACAAAAATTATCATCATTAAAATATCATCAGCTTCCTTTCTGCTGTCTGCCTGCCTTCGTGTTTGAGTCGACAGGTGTGAAGAGGTTGGTGAAGAATTTATTGAAAAAATAAATTAATAAATGAATGAGTGAATGAATGAATGAGTGAATGAATGAATGAATGAATGAATGAATGAATGAATGAATGGATGAATGAATGGATGGATGAATGATTGATTGAATGAATGAATGAATGAATGAATGAATGAATGAATGAATGAATGAATGAATGAATGAATGAATGAATGAATGAATGAATGAATGAATGAATGAATGAATGAATTAATTAATTAATTAATTAATTAATTAATTAATGAATGAACAAACGAACGAACGAAGAAGATGACCAGCCAATTAAGAAACCTGACACCTAATTCGCATCAAAGTTCAATTTTACAACACCAAAGTTAATTTTTACAACGTCAAAGTTAATCTTGACCAAGTCAATATTTCCCTATATATACAACAAGGAGCACTGATGATGATTCATTCGGAATCGAAATATGGCCTTATTTGCAGCATGAATTCGAAAAATAATTTTATTTTGAATTTTAATAAACTAAACGTTCACCAAAAAACTTTAGTGAGAAAAATCGAAAAAACGAACTACAAACATATTAACGCCAAACATTCGGTAGAATTTATAGAATATTGTATTTATAAATGAATAAACAAAATATTTCCAATCACAAAAACAAAAATAACAAATTATTTACAGACCTGAATTCAACATATGCAGGATGTGTCGATTCATAGTCTTCCCAAAACGATTTTTAATGCCTTCCAGATTCTTTGCGATTGAAATTATTCTCTTGTTGAAAGATGCAGAGTCTTGTAAAAATCCATTCAAATCATCACGAGCTTTCTTAAAATTCGGAAGCAGTGGAGTGTCACTTGAGCACTTATCCAGCTGTCTATCAATTGGGCCTAAAGAAATTTTTGTAAAAAAGATTGGTTGATTTATTTTACACTTTCAAATGTAAATAGTTAAAAACCACGGAAAGGATTGAACATATAAAAAAGGGATTTGCATCTTAATAAAATATTTCTTACCTGATTCAGCATTAAAGCTCGAATTGCTCAAATCCCTTGCCACTCTTACATTTTAACAGCGTTGGAACCTGGTAGCTCCTTATCACCAGTATCTCCTGGGTGACCTTTCGCGCCTTTTACCGGTACTATGCCGTTCACAACAGCTCCTTTAGTCATTTAGTGGCAATGTGAAATGTTCTAATTTTATTTACGTGTTGTATATTTATAGTTTTATAACTTCAATCAGCAATTAAAAATCCTTTTACATATTTCACAATGAAATTTAAAAATTAAAACAAAATAAAATTTATACCGGAAATTTTTCGATGTAGATCTTCAAATTGTTGTTTCAAAGCAATAACAATATTCTCGGCGTAGAGGTTAGATGATTTCTTGTCAAATTCATCAATGAACTGCTTCAAACACTCTGGACAAGCACTCTGAGCCAGAGCCTGGTATCTGCATCTGCCGGCAAAACAAATCAAAACTGCTACAAATATTAAGTATTTCAAAGCCATCATTCTGAATGCGCTCTTTGTTCTTTTGAAAAACTGCAAGCTAAAACAAAATTAAACGATTTCTTTTCAATAAATAGTAAATTGTAGGCAAGTACACACACACTTAAACACAGTCACATACACAAAGTCACACTGGCATGTTAATTTATGTTTCAACGATGACTAACGATGATTCGAAGCGTTCATTTGTTCATTTGAAGTCGTTCAACTCTATTGTACAATCAAGTTAGCTGTTAAGAAGGTGCCCTTATACTGAAAAGAAACGAGACGGCGCTGCTTTATTTTAATCTATTTCAAACCTATAGCTACGTGATTTTGTAGTGTTAGCTAGACGATTTTGAACTTTTGCATAATAATTTTAACAATATAAAAATAAAAATAAAACAATATGAAAACAAAAACTCAAAGTTAAAATAAATTGATTTCTAAAAACATAGGTTACAAAAGTATATTTGTAATTTTATAAAGTATAATTATGTTTAATTTAAATTTAAAAGTTTACACAGTCAGTGTGAATCGGAAAAATTGATAAAACATATAAATAGTTGAATGAATGAATAAATGATTAAAAAAGATTGACTAATTTATTTCATGCCTTAATATATAAAAAAAAAAGTTGAAACTACGGAAAGAATTGAACATACAAAAAATTAATTTGCAAAATGCTCAAATCCATCCCAACATTCACATTTTTAAAAGCGTCTTTATGTGCGGCGGAACCTTGTGGCCCCATAATACCAGTATCTCCTTGGGAAACTTTTGGCTCGTTCACAACAGCTCTTCTAGTCAAGCGGCGACAACCTCTGGCCGCAATACTCTTAGTCGCTTACATCATTTACAAACATCAAACACTAACAAACATCAACAAACAAGAGTAGTGGTAAGCAACTACAAACAACCTCTAAAACAGCAGGCCACTACATTTAACAAACCACATATACATTCAACCGATGTCACCAAAAACATTTCTAAGACAAAGTTTTTGGTCGACACGGGAGCCCAGGTAAGCATTACACCTTCACGACAACATCCTCAACGACACATTGGTTGTCAAATGTCAAATCAAAAATCAGTTGGTTAACTTTGAGTAATAATATTCAAATGCATCAACATTTTGACACCTGGATATTTGATAGATAACACAGCACGACGAGCACCTCATTATGAATCAAATTACTTAGCGTTACAGACAAGCCAGCTAAGAATAGGATAAAGAAATTTTACGGTTGCAGCTCCTAGAATATGAAACAATCTTCCAAGCCATTTACGGGATCCTAATTTAAATCTGTTGATATTCATAAGACTGTTAAAAGCTTATTTGTTTTCAACCTAATGTTGTTTTTTCGCATTTTAGGTACGTTTTTGATAAATTTTACATTTTAAGTGGCGCTCTATAAATGTTGATTAATAATAATAAGTATTTAAAGATTTTGTGTATGTGTGTTTGTGTGTGTATCTGTGTGTGTGTGTGTGTGTGTGTGTGTGTGTGTGTGTGTGTGTGTGTGTGTGTGTGTGTGTGTGTGTGTGTGTGTGTGTGTGTGTGTGTGTGTGTGTGTGTGTGTGTCATTAGTATAAATTGTTAGCCAATGATGAAACAATATGTTTGTTTAAAAATGAATTATGCATGCGTTATAATATTTATTTCAAATGACAAATGTTTCATCAGTGATTAACGATGATGACTGATGTCTGTCTCTGAATAGTAATAATTTGAAGAGGTAAGAGATCCAGCCGTGTGTAATGTTTAATCATAGCGGCTTTGTGAGATTTGTTGCTTGCTGGCTAACACAGTTATGTCAAATTTGCATTGATCGCAGATCTATCACTTTTTACAGTACAGTCTGTTTTACTTGTGTCGTAAAACTTTGCAAAATTAGTATGCAATCTAACAATTAAATGCCATCGCTAATGAAGTATTAAAATAACGCTGCTCTATCAACAATATTTTATTTGAAAGATGTTGCTTAAAAATTTTAGCTAAACGTTTTTTAGCAGAGTTGTAAAATAAACTTGGTTTTTGTTGTCGTATTCGTGTTCACTTAAAACTATAGTTTAATAACGAGATGTGATGAAATGTTTGATGCTCCGCTAAATGTTATATCATGTCATATATCGCATTATATTTTTTGTTCATCCATTAATCTATCTATTTATTTGTAGGTAAATAAACTATGCGCTATAACTTTTTCTCATTGTTTAATTTAAAAAAAGACCGACTAAAACTTAATAATGATTCATGAAACGTACTCCTAAAAATGTGTCAGAATAGTTTGGTAAAAGTTGAACGAACTTTGTTGTATGTCTCAGATAGACAAGTCACGCTGCAAATATTTTATAAATTTCTGCTCGTTATAACGTTATAATGTTTTCATGTGACTCAATCTGCGTATGTGCTTGGTTATAGTTGAGAGAACATTTGGTGCGCGAGTAAGAAGTATTCTGTCGTTAATGTTTGGTCAGATTTTAATCAACAAACCATATTTCAATACTATCCAGAAAATCAGGAGGTTTTCAGTTAGGTTTTTAAAAAATGGAATTAACTTTTGTAGTAAGAATAACTACATATTAATAATTGAATAATTCTCTTTGTTAGCAATGATTTTTTTTAAATTAACGAAAAATTGTTACTTTTTTTTGAAAAAAATTAGGAGTGTCCAATTTTTTGTTGCCTCGAGGCTTCCAAAACCGGTCCTGTTTGTGACATCAAGTTAATAACTCTTACTGTTAGTCGTACAACGAACGCACAGTTGCAAATAAAGTTGACGTTTGTACTTTTGACGATAGGAACTAAATTTTTTTTTAATTTAAACATGAAGTAAATATAAGAATTGAAATTTATTATTATTTTAATTAACTTTAGTAGAAAAATTTTGCACCTCAAAATCCTCCTCATTTTTGCCAAATGAGGAGGATTTTGAAATAATTAAACACAACAAACTCGGCGAAAAAATTAACGAACATGATTTTTTTATTGAACATTGAAATGGTATAATATCAAAATTTACCGTCAGATAATGAAAACGAAATGAACGAAATTTGTAAAACACAAGAAAGCATTCAACAAATCAGAGTGAAGCAACGTATGTAGAATAAACTACAATATAAAAACATGTTAACGATCCCAACGAAAGCTTCAAAGATGCATTGCTTATGGTGACAGTGATTAAGTGAGACCGTAATTATTTGCTGACGAAGATGACAATGACGCGAATGATGCCGATGACGTTGGCAAAGCGTCGACAGTGACGATGAAAGAAAAATAAGTATTTAGCATCATGATTTGAAATCACCAAGTATCCATAGAAGCAATAGCAACCACACAAAATAGCAATGATAAAAATTGTGAAGTAATAACGAGTACATTGTTGCCATGCGATCATCGACCTATGACCTACAGTAATGTAACACTGTAGCAGAGTATGTAGCTGATCGTTCTATAATTTAACAGGTTTAGTCATTATTAAAATTATCGTGGTCCTTTCTTTTGCTGTTAATATTAATATAATAATAATAACACTAACTCTATTGTTATTATCATTATTATTATTATTATCATAACTATTATTATTATTAATAATATCATATCATGTCCTGGTTATGACATTAAACTGACCCTCACTGCCTTGTGAGTGATGTTGGATCATCAAAGGCTAGGCCCACCGCTTATAACTGTGGTTGCGTAAGGAAGGGCGTCCTGCGTAAAAATTAGCCAAATAAATTACTTATGATGACAGAAGTGACAATGGCCCTCAGTATCTGGCAGAATGGCGTCGAGGGGTATTTCGGTTTCATCATAGGTAGCCAAACGGCAACCCCCGATCTCGGGGAAAATGTCGTCTAAACGTGTGTTGTTGTTGTTGTAATATCATGATAAACATCGTTGGTTGCTGTATTGTTATTATCATCATAATCGATTATGAAAATTTTGAAAAACGCGTCTACTCTGAACAAAACTCTGAAAAATATAGACAAAAGCAAAAATACAAAAACATATTTGTCAGCGGTAGCCCTAATAAACAACAAGAACCAACGTTAACGAGTTAAACAATGAACTGTGACGCTGTGTTTGCACGTGTGAACATTTGAATGTTTGCACGTGTGAACGTTTGAATGTTTGCACGTGTGAACGTTCGCATGAGTAAACGTTCGTGTGTTTGTATGCATGTGCGTGAGTGAACAAAAGAAAGAAGCACACAAAAGACGAACGTGATTACAAAAATGATATTTGGAGTAGTTTCACATGAAGACAAATGGGATTGACTGATGGGGTAAACCACATAACACGCAAAAAAACCAAACTGGCAAACATTTAAAATAACGTTGCAATTAATTATATTTCATTACAATTTATTACATTTTATTTCATTACAAATAGTTATTCCTTACAAAAGTTGCCATCATGTACTGCGTTATATCAGTTGAAATAAAAAATTTTTGCTTAATGATAATAAATAACCTCAACAACAACATAAATATAATTAAAAAAATCAAAAGCAAAGCACAATTATAATAACATTAAGAACACCGACGAATCAGAAATACCAATCCCAAGTATCTAAACTGGAGAGGAGTTTGAACATCGAACTGCGTTTACCAAGGGTCCGAGTATGACGTCACGCCCCTTGAGGGGGTCGGAGGGTGAAAAAGTTCATCAAGCTTATGAGGGTGGAGAAGTTCACCTATGAAAGACTATTTCACGTGTTTTACAGAGTTTTACACGGGTGGTGTGGGATTTGTTTGTTACGTTTCAAATTTCTACATGAAATATTAAAACTTTTGTATTTCCAAAGTTCATGTCATTTATTAATGCGTTATTTCAGCTGACAAAATGAGGTCAGTGATCGTGTTTCCTTTGAATAGATAAGAAAGACGACTAGATCTGATAGAAAGAGACGCTGAACACCCAGGGAAATGTCCCACGACATGTTCGTTGAATGATGTTCAGCTAATTTATCGGGCAGTCCAGTCCTCCATACTACACTTTGATCTTAGCCAAAAGGCCGAGAAGCGACATTACATTACTGAATATTGAAATGTAGCAAACCGTGGAAAATGTAAAAAATGCAAAAAAAAACAAATAAAAACAACAAAAATAATAACAGTAACAACATCAACTATAATAACAATAATAACAATAACAACAACGACGCAAACGTGTCTGATGACGGCAGAAGAAGTAGGAAAGACTTAAAAGATGACACAGACGATCGACACTGTTACTAATACATAACACAGCTAAGACATCAAAAACCACGAATATCCCGCAACATTTCGTCTTCCAAATAAAAAAAAAAAATAATAATAATACAAAAATAATAATAAAAATAACAACAATGAGAATAACTTTAAAAACATCAACGTCAGAAGAAACAACACGCACGCAAGCAACGACAAACAAACAACGACATCATGTAGTTGATGAAATTAATCGGAATCCTCGCTGGATGACCTTCTGATGTTGCAGGTCTCAACGAGTTCGGCAACCGAATCAACCACAACAGGTCTACCGGACTCTGAGACTTTCATTGGCTTGATCACTCCCGACCTGTCAGTCAAAAAAAAAGACATCAACAATTACAGTTTAAACCTAACATAGACCAAAGCATGAAGACCTCGCTATGATATCTAGTCTTATTTTGTATCTTTCGGGTCCAGCGATATTATCTAGTCTTATTTTGTGTCTTTCGGGCCCAGCGATATTATCTAGTCTTATTATGTATCTTTCCGGCTCGGATGTTTGTTTGAAAGGGCCCGGAAGATATCAAATGAAAAATAAAATATACATAACACAGAAACTATAACATTTCTAATGTATTATGTTGTTTCCTGTTCTATTTTACATAGATATTGAAATAAACATCCAAGGCCCTACGACAAATCGCGTTGACTGCTGCCACATCAGCCACTCGTTAACCTCTGCAGTTGGTCGATCTTGTTCAGTAGTTCGTTGGCCACATATTCCTTCTGTTCATCGCTCATGTCATCCATCACGTTCGCCTTTGGCTCCTCCCACCGACCGGTCACCGGGTTGACACTGTCGTGTGATTGGTCAATTGAGATGGCGTGGAGTGACGTCATTGTATAACAAGCGATGGCACAATTAATTCGTGAAATATCACATACGACCACGTGGCATGATCCCATCAATAATAACCAAAATATCAATTGGTAAAAGTAACATACAGACACGACACAATTATCCAATTATACAATGTTTGTGTATCACGTCAAAAACAACTACGTCTCATCTTCCCATCCCTCCCACCATCATTTTCTCAGATCCTTCATACAAACTTCTCCTTCAGTTTGGCATACTCCTCAGTTTCTGAATCTTCAGACTCGCTAGAGTAGAGAGGTTGAGAGCTGCTGTTGTTGATGCCAGCCATCAGTCCTCTCTCTGCCAGCAAACCCGCTGCATTCCCGTAGCCAGTGTACTTTATGAAGCGTCCACCTGTTTCCATCATGCCATGTCACGTGATGATAACACGTGACACGTGTTATAGTGTGGTGTTACGGTTTGATGATGTTACAAGATTTACATGATGTTACGTCATCATTTGATGCCGTGACGTAATGCTATCACGTGATGTTGTAGCATCACGTGGTGAGGTGACGTTGTGATGTGATGGTGGGTGTCATCGCGAAACGTTTTATCATGAATTAAACATGATGATGCAGCTACAACAGTGCAGTCAAATAACAACAACAACACCAACAACACCAACAACAACAACCGCAATCCACAACCAAAATTAATCATACTATTTTCTTTGCAGAGGACGAAGATGAAGTCGGCCGATAAACTTTTAATCTCAAAACTGTTGTGGGTGAACAGCTTGCACAGTCTGACCAATCAAACAATCAATGTTTGTTTGTTTGTTTGTAAATAACTTTTAGCTAAATCGTCGTCGTCATCATTAGATTAAAAATTTTTTGATCACAAAATATCAATTAGAGTAAAAGAAACACGTGATAATGTTACCCTGTGATGACTTTGCCGTGTAATATTATAATCTGATGATGATCACATGAAATCAAAAATGTTTCATGGACCACTTCACATGATCCCTTCTACCCAACACTACCAACATCATTCATCTCCAAGACCATTCCCACTCCCCCCCCACCCCACTTCCATCCTCGTCTTCATCATCTTAACCATCACCATCTCAACCATCTTCACTAACTTGTTCCTCAATAGGTGACCTTCCTCTGGCAGCTTCCTCACCTCGTCACCGAGATAGGGCAGAATCTGGGTTAAAGGTTAAAGGTCAATCTCTCTTGTGCACATGTACATGATGCGTCAAACAAGTGGCCGATGTATTCAGTAGACGAAAAAATAAGTAATCAATAATCATAAGTAAATAAACAGTCCACAAGCAACGACGACAACAACAACCACCACTAAGACACACAAAAAACAACTAAGCAACCATTTCGTTATTAGTTACTGCAACAACTTAAACAAGATCTCAAACAACTACACTCATACTTTCAGAACAGCATAAACAACATCTTAAACAACTACATTTATACTCTCAAAACAACACAAGCAACATTTTAAACAACTGCACTCATACTTTCAGAACAGCATAAACAAACCTGCATTCGACAGTACTTCCTTATGATCCTGTTGGCACGACACATGCGGCATAAACTGTGCAAAATAGGGCAGAGAAGTTCATTGGATGCACCACTTGGGCTTGCCTGTGTGTATGTGTGTGCGTGAGTGTTTGTATGTGCGTGTGTGTTTGTATGTGCGTGTGTGTGAGTATGTGTGTATATGTGCAGTGTTTAGTGCTTGCGTGTGCTGTATGTATCTGTGTGTGTGTGTGTGTGTGTGTTTCTTTGTATGTATGCCTACATTTTTATATGTGAGATCAAACGTGTACATGCTAACAAAGTTGTTTGAAAAGCACAATTGCTATCATAATAGGAAAACGCACTGGATGGCTCGATATTGAATGAAGTTACGCAGAAATAATGACGATGAAGAATTTTTAGTGGAGAGTATTCCGATGTGAGCAGCGGTGAATTTCAGTTTATTTGAAAACTAGCAATGATACAGCAGTACAACCCATCAGATGGCCCATACAAGTAATAATACAAGAGAGTTTCTTACTGAAATATCTCACCATAGAACGAAACGCACAGGCCACCGACATTAATATGATAAGGATATCATTCATAAATGATAAGGATATCATTCATAAATGATAAGGATATCATTCATAAATGATAAGGATATCATTCATAAATCACACCTGGTCTGAATCTGATGAGCATAATAACTTGAGAAAATATCGGATCAATACGCTTCAAGCAGCACATCTAGACCTCGAGAAAGATGGTACGAGGTCATATTACAAAACCAAGTTCTTTCTTTCTTTTTTCTCCATAAAATTAAATAACATGTATTCACAGAGCGTAATGTGCTTTTTAAACTCAACAAAAAATCCATCTATCGGCTAAAGAACCAACATCAGCTCATACAACGTCGGTAACCTTCAGCATTCATCACCAGCTGACCTTGTCCAGTTGAATTTTGAGGAATTCGAGGAGGACGATGATGGCGTCCATGTTCTTGCCCTCGTACTCACTGTCCTCACAGGTCAGCAGGTGAGTGACCTTGATCTCTGCAGGGGTCAACAGCTCTTCATACGAGTCACTGGGCACTACTGTTAGCAGGTGCACTGTGTGGCTGTTTCACGTGGTATGTATGGTCTTATGGTATGGTCATATGGTGTAGTTTTATGGTGTGGTATTATGGTTTGTATATATGGTATGTATAGTCTTGCGTTGTATAAATATTTGTAAACATTGTTTATTTATGCGTGTGAAAGAATACTGTGTAAGGTCTGCACTATGTGTTTAAGAGTAATTTATTTATTTATTTACACTCCAAGTTAACTAGCTAACTATGGCAGCATACATTTGTGAATTACTTCATTTTTGACTAGTGGCTACATAAACTGATACGCTGAAACAACAGCTTAAACGCTAGAACACACAACAACTTAAACTCTAGAATACACATTCAATCCAGGGAGAGCAGTCTCAAATCTGACTCCGACAGGGTTTAAGCATCTATTTATAAAATCAAAAAGCAATGTGATATCACTGATAGATATAGAATGCTACTGGAAAACTTTGAAATTGTGAACAATCCCATATACAGACAACAAATAATATTGTTGTGATGATGCTTAAAAAAGGATTATTATATGTTGGCCTTTGTAATTTAAAAAAAATGAAATTGAAGTTTCATCCAATGATAAGTTTTTGATTTACTTAGTATTGTATTTGAAGAAATTTATAAAAATTGACAGACCAATGTAGTTCGTGTTTCTTATCGGCTGATTGTACTGGGCAGAGGAGGAGGTCATGTAGGACGCTGACCAACCTCATGAAGTGAGCCTCTTCTTCCTGTCGGTGGTCATTTACGTGTAAGTGGTCAATTGTAAGTGTGGCTGGTCAGCTGTGCAGTTGGTCAGACATAAATAGGAAGAAAACCTAGCAATAAATACTAATGAATGATTAACTCATATTAAATGTAAGATCAACTTGAACAATCCTGTTAGTCGGAATGGATCCTTAACTGATAACAACGAACGACATTCATGAAGCTAGCAGCAGCTTCAAGAAGTAGCAAAAATATTCATAATCAAACTCAGCAAACATTCACAGACGACGGGCAAGAAAACCACCTCATTCAGCGAGCCCTCGACGATCGTGATGTTAAACAGGACCTTCAAGACCTCAATGCACAAGTTGACGTGCGACGAATCGAGAGATCTGATTGGCTCCTCTCCAGGCTGCAGCATCAAATCAAGAACTTCTATTAAGTAGGTCAGTCCGTGGAGGTCGTAGCGTAGTTTTGGTCTGAGACAGGGAATGGTCAATGAAATTAATGGTAGTGAATCTCTATTTGGATCATCATCGCTGGCGTGAATGGGTGTGTCATGCGATGAGTGTATCATATGATGAGTATGTCATCCGATGAGTGTATCATGATGAGTGTATCATGATGAGTGTATCATGATGAGTGTATCATGATGAGTGTATCATATGATGAGTATGTCATCCGATGAGTGTGTCATCCGATGAGTGTATCATGATGAGTGTATCATATGATGAGTATGTCATCCGATGAGTGTGTCATCCGATGAGTGTATCATGATGAGTGTATCATGATGAGTGTATCATGATGAGTGTATCATATGATGAGTATGTCATCCGATGAGTGTATCATGATGAGTGTATCATGATGAGTGTATCATGATGGGTGTATCATGATGAGTGTATCATATGATGAGTATGTCATCCGATGAGTGTATCATGATGAGTGTATCATGATGAGTGTGTCATCCGATGAGTGTGTCATCCGATGAGTGTATCATGATGAGTGTATCATGATGAGTGTATCATATGATTAGTGTGTCATCCGATGCTATACATTTCGTCATACTACATTAACGTAATCATATGATCAGTATCTAATAATCCAATTGTCGTCATCTACAATTTCAATTCTCCTAACCATCATCACTGCTGTTAGTTACCGTCTTTATAAATTTATCATCAATATTAAGCATCGTAACCGACGAAAACATGTTTATTTTAGAAGGCCAAAAGTTGTGATAATATTTGATAAGTTATGAAGATGAGGAGGAGAATGAAGATGATACGGTGGTGATGATGGTGGTGATGATGGTGGTGATGATGACGGCCAACCTGATTGCTGAGTTGAGACCGGTTATTAGGTGCAGTAGCTTCATGTCAAACAACTGGCAGGTGATATAGGAGGGTGGTGATTGCGTTATAAAATGATTCATATAATGAGGACGGTGATGACGATGTGATAATGGGAATGATATGATTACACGCGATAATGATGATGATGATGGTGACGTCATATGGCAAAAAAAATCATGATGTCAGGTGATGGTGACGTCATTTGATAAAGGGAACGATGATGTCATGTGTGATGATGACGCTGATGTGATAATAAATGATAACAATGTGTTGGCACAGATCCACTAACCAACTCATCGTCATCATATTATCATATGATGATGAGTTTGGTTAGTATGAATGGTTAGGAGACAACAACACGGGAAACCATTTTTCTCCGCCTCTGCCTCTAAAGTGACTAAACTTTTGAACGATGGTCGTTTGAAAGAAAAGTATAATAATGATGAAGATGATTGATAGGAATGATATTAACGATGATATGAATCATGATAAGAATGATAAGAACCTTGATATCGTGGAGTAGATACGGATCTTTGTATATCTTCAACCTATCAACGACACCGTGCACGCAGTAACTTGTACTGAAGAGTTTCAATGAGCACATTTTGAAAAAATTTTAAAAACTATTAAGAGATTAATTAACTGATTAATTAATTAATTAATTAATTAATAGAATAATACAAAGTTGTGAAAAGTTTCTTCAACTAAAAATGTACATCAATCTTCAAATGAGTCAACAAAAATTGATCAGACAGAAATTGAAATCAATAAATCAGTTAAACCACCACACAACCCTACAAAAAATAAGAGAAGCTGTCAAATTGAGAAGCCTAAATTTTTATACACACATACAATCAGCTATCTTATCAACTAGCCAATCATATGGCTTAGCAATCAACCAACGAAACCTAGCAGCTAATCAAATGACTTATCAACTAATCAACCAAGCTATCAAACGACTATCAATCAGCCAAATATTAAAATTAAAATGATTTATCAACCATTCAATCATCCAGCCAACCAGCCAACCTGCATTCATTCAGCGCCAGACTGCTGTTGAAAACCAAGTTACATAGACATTTCTGAGCTTCTACAATAACTGGTATTTAGAATTGGAAAAAAGCTACACTTATACTTGAATGCACATTACAAACATTCAACGTACAATATCAAGTTAAAATTGCATATATATTCTTGTGAAAATGGTGAACAAAATTTGTGATAACAAATGTTTATAAATAAAAAAAATCAAACATAATACTCGCAAAAATTCCATTTGAGCTAATTTTAGTTTTTTATCTAAATATAATTGAATGAGTAGATAGAAAAAAAAGAGAGTGAGAAAGAGAGAGAGAGAGAGAGAGAGAGAGAGAGAGAGAGAGAGAGAGAGAGAACAGAAACCTTCAAATTCCTGCACATTGGGAACACGAGCTGAAGCAAGTTGGGCACATTGAAGAACAGTCTGCACGTGTCCTGCTTTCAAGATATGCTCAATGAATAACTTATCCCTGCTTAAAATTTTGATGCATTCCAGTATCAAACATTTTAAATGGTTGTCTGCAGTGTCGGTGAGTTCTTTCAGCAGGCCTTCGAATATTAACTGTGTTTGGGATGATAAGTGTATAAATTAAAACTAATGATAGTTGTTAATAACTGCAATATATCAATATTCAAAAAAAAAAATTTATTAGTAATCAAGTTGAAAGTAAAAGTTAGCTCACTGATTTATTTTCTTCTGTGATGTTGGATATCAACGTGACATTCTTGTTCTGAAATTTTATAAAAGACATTTATAAAAAAAAATGAAAGTACCAGTAAGCACTTCAATATTTTATTCAGTTATCATCATGAATATCATTATATTATATTATACGATACAGTCCCCATATTCAAAAAAGAGACAAAACGAAATGAAATGAAATAATCTGTCATAGTAGATTGAAATAAAAATTAATAAAAACAACAGTAAAATTATAATATATTTATTTATATTATACTTTGCGGGTAGGTCAAATTCAAACTTTTAATTCAATTCAATTAATAACGAAAAATAGCATAATGTAGAATTGTAGATGGAACACAATTAAATCTTAAACTTAAATACGAAAGCTGGAAGTTTGGGACAATCACTAACTTCACTAATGAATGATTCCAGACATTTTTGGAGTGCTGCAGAACCAGCACAAGATGTTCCTTCTTGAAAAAACAACTCCAACAAATTATTCATCATGGATTAATTAAGAAGTAGGTTAGCAAGTCAATCAATTGCTATTGAATTTATATTTTATATTACTTTATTTCTAATTTTATTACAAAAAAAATGTTTGTTTTGCGTTCGTGGAATGGGAAAAATGAAAATTAAAAGTTCGAAATAAAAAAAATACCCAATAAAAAAAAATATTAAGAAAAGAAATTTATCTTCTAAAAAGATGATAAATGAATGGATATTATTTATATTATACAACAAAATAAAAAAGTTTGAATTCTATTATTGCAGATTATAAAACATGACGACACAATTTTTATTCAATGGGACGAGAGAAATGAACATGGCAAGAAGCTCCGACGACGACGACGACCACATCACATACAACCAGATTCCAGATTTACCAACTGTTTATTTTCTAACGAGGGGAAAGGTTTCTTTGAAAAAAGACCTGACCTGACCTGACCCACACATACTGAGGAGATCATGAAAATATTGTATGCCATGAACGTACACGGACTAATCGATCAATTCAATCAAGCTATTTGACATGCCTGAATTGTTGGCTTACGAAATTGCATGGATTTTAACGAGCAAGCTATATGAAATATTTACATGACTTAATATGCTTAAAACATTGAAGTAATTCTATTTAATTTTATTTAATAGAATTATGTATTATTAAATTATTATTGTTAATTTGAATATAAAAATTGCTTTTGGTCCGATGAATCTCGGTGGCTTACTAAAGCCAAACGTTGCCTTACCAGGATTGATCTATAGTCACCCTTATTTTACGCTATTCGATCATGTTAAAAATTTGTTTGCTTATGAAATAAAGGGCCTAAATAAATCAAAATTGTTATTAAATAAACTATCTTTATTATGTTCAATAAATATTTTACATTCTGCTGGTGCTCATAGAAACCGATTGCTAAAATCATGAATTGGCTTACTGCAGTGGCTTACAGGGTTTCATAGAACTCTTATGATAGCGGTTTTTTTGTACATATAATGCTTTAAATAAAACAATAGATTCATTTTTTTTTCATGTATACAATACTATGAGATCAATTAATCAGTCAGTCAGTCAGTCAGTCAATCAATCAACCAACCAATCAATCAATCAACCACCCACCATCCAACTAACCAATCGATCAATCAACAAATCAGCCAACCAACCATTCATTCATCAACAAATCAACCAACCAATCAACAAATCAATGAACTAAATTGAATGAACCAAATAAACGAAAAAAAAAATAAATAAAAAAAATGTTTGCAAGGCTTGTTCAAACTCGAACAAACACTTAACCGTACAGATCTACAAACAATTTTAAGATTTTAGTAAAGAAAGAAAAACACAATAGTTGCTTTTATTTGAATCCATTCAAAAATGAAAAGTGACGGTTAATTAAAATTTTAAAAAAGTAAATTTTTTTAAATTAGTATTTTAAACAAACAAATTTAACAAAATGTTGACCGACAAAAAATAATTATTATCCATTAATATTATTTATTATACACACTCCTTAGTAGTTCTCGGAGAATGATACACGTAAGATGAACATTTAGTAAGAACAGTTCACAACATATCATAATGACTAAATCAACATACCAAAAAGAAATTATTTATACATGCATATATACAAAGTAAATCAAGAAATATCCAAAAATTATATAACCAAATTGAAAAAACTAGAAACCAGTCAACTTTTAATAAATAAATAAATTGACATTATTAAAAAGATTGCTGTTCATAAAGGTAAAATTTAAGGCGACGAGAATAAAATGTAGTTTGTTTTGTTGGTGTGGTGCTGTGAAGGGAAAACAAACAAATACATCACACAAAACTAGTAAAAAGTCGCAAGAATAGTAGTCAGTTACCTACCTACAATTAAATTACTCTCAGGGCCCTAGCTTACTTATAATCATTAACTCAGCTCACCTACCTACAAATATATATTTCTACGTTTTAGGAATTTTACATGTTTCAGATATTTTATTTAACATATTTTAGCGTTTTTATTTTACTTGAAACTTTGTAAATAATGTTAAGCCCTAGCCTACCTACGATTGTTCAACTCATCTCAATCCCTAACTTACCTATGAATTAAATTAAGTCCGGTAAAGAAAGTAGAAAGTTGAAGAGAAACATAACAACAACGACACCGAATGAATGGATGTTGTGTATGCGTGTGTTGTATTTATGTGTGTGTATGTAAATGTGCGGGCGTGTACTCTCCAGAAACTTCTTCACTCAATACGGATGAACCTCCATTGCGCCGACCATCATCTGACACCCATCGATGGAATGAATTTGATCGGATATCAAAAACACTAAATTGAAGAAAAAATAATAATTGATTAAAATAAAAAACAAGCCATTGGAAAAAATATGCAACTTATCTTTTTAAGATAACACTCAATCCTTTGTTCAAATTTGAGTACTTTAAAAGGTACAATGGGACAAAAACAAATTTACCTTTAAAATTATTTTAGAATTGTCATCGGAACGATCATCATGAGACCACCATCTGAAACGTGCTGACGCCCACCACAGCCCACCTCTCATCATTCTGTAGACAAGTTTTTTTAATTAGCGTGTTGGTAAATCAAGAAACAAAGGAACAAACGAATAAATGATTAATGAATGATTGAACGATTGGTTGAATGAATGAATTAATTAATCAATCAATGATTTGATGAATAAATAGAATGAATCAATGAATCAATAAATAGAGGAATAATTTGAAAGATAGTGATAAATGAATGAATTAATGAGAAAAAAAGAAACCAAACCATACATCAAAAACCGTCGTTGTTGTTGTTTTCTTCGAATTGTCATCGGAACGAATATCATGAGACCACCATCTGAAACGTGATGATGCCCACCACAGCCCACCTCTCATCATTCTGTAGACAAATTTTTTATTAGCATAGTAGTAAATCAAGGAACGCATGAACGAACGAACGAATAAATGATCAACTGAATGATTGAATAATTGGTTGAATGAATGAGAGAATGAATGAATGGATAAATCAATCAATGATTCAATTAATGAATAGAATGAATTAACGAATCAATTAATGGAAAAATTATTTTAAAGATTGAGTGATAAAATAAACGAATGAACAAATGAAAAAAATAAAAAACGAAACTAAACCTTACTTCGTCGTTACTGTAATCCATTGCACCGACCAACACCATCTGGTCGGCACACAAGATGTCATCCGAACTTTTGATTGTCGGTCGAACAGCCAACGCGCTGATTCTTTCTACACAACCATCATCATAAGTAAATCATCATGAGACCATCATCTGAAACGTGCTGATTCCCACCACTACCCACCTCTCATCATTCTGTAGACAAATTTTTTTTTATTAGCCTAGTAGTAAATGAATGTTAGAATTTTAGAAGCAAAAAAGTCTAAAGTAAAAATAATGACAAATAAATAATATTTTTAAATAATAAAGAGAGTAAAATGTAAACAAACTTACCGTCGTCCATTCCACAAAGGCAGAATGAAGAATGCCTTCCGGTTCTTGCGTTGTCCTCCATAACTGGTGCCAGTCTTCCTCGAGATTGTTGTTGAAACACAGCCAGTGTTGATAGAGAAAGATAAAGAGAATATTCTCATCAGAAAGCTTAGCGGTGCTTGCATCTCAAATTGCTTAATAAAAATAATCCTATCTACCTATTCAATTACCTTAACTAATATATATTAAATTATTAATGGTACGATAGTCGAAAGTCCCCCTTCCTTCTCCCTCCTTGCACAGAGGCTCACCGACAGCCAGGGCACCGGATAGTAAACCATTGCCGTGCGGATAGTAGACTATTGCCGTGCGGATAGTAAACCATTTGCCGTCCGGAAGCCGTGCGGGTAGTAGACTATGGCCATGCCGCATAGTAAATCATTACCGTGCAGATAGTAAACCATTGCCGTCCGGATAGTAAACCATTGCCGGTTCACCACTGGCCACCAAGGCTTACCTCTGACAAGAGACTTTGAAATCCAGAGTCTATCGGCTATCGTACCCTCAACTTACCTGTTCATTACAATTAAGCCCTAGCTTACCTAAAATTACAAAACTCAAGAGCCCAATTCATTTAGCCAATCGGCACCCACCCCACCACCTACGTAATGCCTTGGGCTCCAACTTAGTAATAATAATATAAAACTTAAACCCTAAATCTATTAATGAGTATGTGTTACAACGTAGCCTTAACCTACCTATTCATTACATTACGGTCCTAGCTTACCTAAAATTTCAAAACTCAAGAGCCCAATTCATTTAGCCAATCGGCGCCCACCCCACCACCTACGTAATGCCTTGGGCTCCAACATAATAATAATGTAAAACTTATATTAGCCTACCTATCGATACACTTACAGCGTTTTAATTTACATTACCAGATTGTTCCTAGAATTACATTATTGCCCTTAATTACCTATATAATTAAATTACTCTCAACCTTAGTAATAATAAATTAGAATGTGTAATGAAAATAAAATTACGCTCAAATACTAACATATGCGTTTATGTATGTATTTGTGTGTGTGTGTGTAATACGCTGATGCGTGTAATGTTGGTGCAAGAAAAAATTTAAGCGATAAACTTACGCGCCTACCTATTCAACTACATTAGTGTTGGGTGCTTCTTATCTATCCTACCTACAATTAAAATTATGCCTATCTAACCTACCTATATAGCTACTTAATGTATTTGTGTGTGTAAGCGTGTGCGTTTGAGCATTCTTACTTAATGTTAAATTACAGAGAAAAACAGAGAAAAAAGAATAAAACGTATCCCGGCCAGGCGTGTGTTCTTTGCCACTGAATGAATGAACGTAGCCTGACATCCTCCATGATGAACTCCTCTGGAAGCTTCAACCTGAATGAAATGGAAACATGTTATTTAATTAATTTAAATGAAAATAGAGAAACGAGCCGCGGTGAAACCCGCCAGCCGGAAAAGCCAGCTAACTGGCAAAAAGAACCGCAAAGAAACCGTAAAACGAACCCCAGCCAGGCGTGCATTTTTTGCTCCTGAATGAACGAACGTAGGGTGACATCACAACCATTCTGATCTTCCACGATGAACTCCTATAGAAGCTTTAACCTGAATGAATGAACCTGAATGAACCTAAATGAATGGAAAAATCTTATTTATTTAATTAATTTAAACGAAAATAGAGAAACGCAAAGAAGCCGACCGGTCGGCAAAGAAAAGAACCGCAAAGAACGGTATCTATATAGGATTTATGCTCTATATAACTCTATATAACTCTATATAACTCTATATAACTCTATATAACTCTATATAACTCTATATAACTCTATATAACTCTATATAACTCTATATAACTCTATATAACTCTATATAACTCTATATAACTCTATATAACTCTATATAACCAAGCATACTACCACATTCAATCAATAAAAATCCCAATAAAACCAGGAACCACCGCGTACCTGTTATATGTATGGTGTGAAACAAAACAAAAAAACAAAACAAAAAACACACCACCAAGTAGAGTAAAAGAATTGAAGTCCCTAACCTACCTATGTAACTAAATTAACTTATGCCCTAGCCTACCTATATAAAAAATTAATCTCAATCTCACCTACCTACGTTTCATTAACTTAACTCAAGACTCATGAAGAAAGAGGAAAAGGAGTAAAAAAGAACATAAAATACTACCACACAAACAAACATGATGTATGTATGTATGTAGGAGCAACCGCTAAAGAACCCACCTAAAATATAAAAAAATACAACTTACAAACACGCAAACCACAGACATGCAAACTCTATATAACTCTATATAACTCTATATAATTCTATATAACTCTATATAACAAAATAAATAAAAATAAATAAATTATAAAAATAAAGAAAATGAGATCAGACAGACTGCTTCAAGCGAGGCAGAATGCCTGATCTGATTTACGTGTTATTTCAATTCCTATTTATACTCGTTTCAACCATACATTTTCATCATTTCAATCATTCACATCAGTAAAAAACTTATTTAATGTATGTACTACACTATTATACAGTCTTAACCACAATGTTAACCGTACTAAATTGACGTCATCGAACGAACGCTTTCGAAGCTTTCTGATTGGCTGGTTGAATCTGCTATATTGCTTTTTACGTAAACATATAATCTTATGAATTATTTGTATACATGGATTCTAGTCACTTTATATATATATATATAAATATATATAAATTCATTATAAAAGCAACAGTAATCAGTGCTATATATGTACGCACGCAGTTCAAATGTTCTGGGAGAATTCAAATTAGTTTGAGACCACACCTTGCTTAACATCCAATTCCATGCCGAGCCAAGCCAAGCTGAGCCAATATGCGTAGATGTATAAGCGCTTTTATATTAAAGTTTTGCTCGCTTTATATTCGAATATCCCAATATAACAAATTCTCCATCCTATTTTAAAAATTTTCTTTGATGCTTTTTATCAGTCAGGTCACATTATCATTATCGATATCGCGATGAAATCAAATTGAATTTTTTTTTAAATTGTTGATAAAAGTAACTAGTATATAGTAAAAAGTTTAAATTTTTCTGAGAGAATTCAAAATAATTCGAGACTACACCATAACACAATTGTACAATTTGAATGTGTAAATACAACATGATAAATGTTTTATAACTACGTGTATCTATCTATCTATCTATTTCTTTATTTAGTTCTGCCTGCGTATGATATTTGGTCATATTTATTTAATAGGAATTGAATACAAGCTTTATACCGGCTGATTAACTTAACTACCGTGCAGTAAAATTACTACCGTTAACATGACGTCATTTCCTCCAACAATTTCGCAAAGAATTACCCATCCTATTTAATAAATTTTATTTGATGGTTTTTTATTAGTCAGGTCACAATCATTATCATCGATATCGCAATTAAATCAAATTGATAATTTTTTAAATTTTTAAAAAAGGTATCTTTGTTCATTTTATGATACCACTTTGATCAATAAGATACTGTATGATACATATAACTAGAATAAATGTTGAAAAACAAAGTAAGATTGACAATTTTTAACAAATTGCTTAGCAGATAAGCGTATAACAATTTTTTAACGTTTACAGCGTTTACATAATTATTTTTTTTGAAAATATACATGGCGTTCCAAGACGACTAAAACATTTATAGCACAACTTTACGTACGTTCAAAGCGATTGTCTTAGTTAAAATAAAAAAATTATTTGTTCGGGATTTTCTCTTAAAATTCACGTTGACGCCACATCATCAAAAGCAAATGTCATCAGCGTCAGGCATACGAAAGAGGCACCATGAAAAAAGTGAAGTTTGTTTGACCAGGCCCAGTTACAGAAATGGTCGACACCCCAAAGCTGTGAAGGTTCTATACCATGAATTTACTGTTTTTTTTCTAATATTATGTTTGGTAGTGTAGTACAAATATTATCAAATGCTTGCAATTGTCTTTCTTTTTTTCAATTTCTCTAGTGTTGAACATTTTAAAAATATTATAATATACTAATTATATTATATTATAATTTTATCTGCAATGATATGATAATAAACATGTCCTGGTTATGACATTAAACTGCCTTGTGAGTGATGTTGGATCATCAAAGGCTAGGCCCACCGCTTATAACTGTGGTTGCGTAAGGAAGGGCATCCTGCGTAAAAATTAGCCAAATAAATTACTTATGATGACAGAAGTGAACCTCAGTATACGGCAGAATGGCATCGAGGGGTATTTTGGTTTCATCATAGGTAGCCAAACGGCAACCCCAATCTCGGGGAAAATGTCGTCTAAACGTGTGTTGTTTGTTGTTGATATGATAATAAACCAAACATATATTGAGATTGATTGAGTAATTAAAAATTATTAAAATTAATACCAATCTTGACTTAAATCAGTTGGTCATAGTGTAGTGAAGAGTAGTTAGTCTCTAAACTAAACGAACTGATACTTTATAATAGAGGTCATACCAGATTGTAGTAAAAAGTTTGAATTGAAAAAATAAGATCATTTCAGTTAAAGTTAAGTATCCCTTTGCTTTGCTTTGACATTTTTCTTTATTGAGGTTCAAGTAGTCGAACTATGTTTATAAAATTACAGATTTTAGTGATTACTAATATTTTAACATGCAGGTATACACAGTTGGTCACGAATCCATCTACCTGTTGGTTAGAAGGTTGTCCTCAGTGCCAGGCAGCTACGAGGGACTGATCAACAAGATGAAGACCTTTGGAGATGTGCTGGATCACAAGATACTGACCGACTACCCCAAAGATGCATCAGAAACCTTCACAGATGTTGCATTGGTCAAGTTTAAAAAACTTGTTTCAGCAAGGTGGGCGGCTTGTAAAGTACTAAAGTTTGAAAGATAGGTAATTGCTGTTGTTATTAAAATATTGTTTCAAAAAAAATTAAAATAATGATGGCTGTCTTAAATTAAGAATGTTTTCTTAAAATTATCATGCACAGAATAGCTAAAAAACGAATGGATGATTTGAACTACATGGGAGAAAGTTTACACTGCTGTTACGCTCCTGAGTTTGAAACCGTGGAGGAGTGTAGGGAAAAGTTGGAAACTCGGAGGATGGCAGTGTTAAAGAAGCTGAATGAAGAGAAGTTGAGTTGTAGCGATGTTGTTGTCTCCAGCGATATCCGTGTTGGTTCTGGTGAGTTGTTTGTTGTGTGTTTGAGCTTGTTCATGCTTGTCTATGTTTGTTTGCAGTTGTGTCAGGTTGGTTGTTTCTAAACTCTTGTTTACTGATGTGTGTTGGTTTTGTTTAGGTTTTAAACATTGATTGTTATATTGTTAATCTCCAAATATGTCAGTTTGCTGTATATGTATTATCTCTATTGACATGCTATGAATAGTCTATTTAACTGTTAATTAATTAGGCTGACACCAAGCGATATGTTTCTAAAACACTTAGAATTAATTTAATTTTGAATATAATTTCTCTGTTGAAAACAAGATTACTTAAGGAATTCAAGAAATGATGACATCAAAGGAATGGATGGTTCTCATGGAAATCATAACGTGACTGATGCATCATCCGAACAACTCACTTCCAACTCGTTTCTTCATTATCCTCATATCTCTCAACAACCACAACCTCAGCAACATCATCAGTTATATCAACAGCAGCTGCAGCAACAACTTCAGTTTCAACAACAAATTCAACAACAGTTTCAGCAACAAATTCAACATCAACAACCACATCCGCAAAGCCAGCTATCTTACTTTCACCCTCAGTTTGATCCCGTTCCATTCCTGTCTTCACCATACCAACATCACCAAGAGTTGCATCCTCAAAGTTTCCACCAACAGCAACCTCTACAAAACCATCTGCACCACCAATTCCAGCAACCGTCTCAGCAACAACTCATGCAACAACATCATCAGCCCAAACATCAACTACACAAAAATTTTATGAACAATCAAACGTCTACAAAAGTGACTTCTACGCAACTTGCAACAACAACAACAACAACTGCTCAGACAACAAAAGCAACTACACCGACAACAAAAGCAACTACAGCGACAACATCAAAATCACAGACAACAGCAACAAACATGTTACCGAGACAAGTTGTTCGACCGGTCTGCAACAAAAAGACATCCATCCATCATCACAATCAGTTACTCAGGTACTACTTATTTATTTGTTATCATATATTTATTAATGATCATTACATTGAAATAAAATGCTTACAACAAAAGACATCAATCTCTTATCCACAAGACAAAGGCCATCTTGAAATTGAAATTAATATCTTGAATGCAGGGAGCAGGCCTTGGAGTTGAGGGAGAAGCCGCAGGGTCCTTCGTTGTTAGAGGAGGACGAGAGGAAGAGGAAGATCTTTCGTGCTTCCATCACAGGCGATCCGTCATTGGATGCGACTGTCATGTCTGTCAGAAATGTTGTCAACAAGTTAGCTTCTGACGTTGGCTGATCTGATTTTATTTATTTTTTTTTTTCTATAAACATTTTACGGCACTGCAGCTCCCAAGATGGTGCCATAATGTGCCAGTAATTTTAATTTTTTTTTCCTTATTTTTGTTTTATTTTGTTTTGTTTTTTTTTCATAATTATTTAGTTCCTATTATTACATCCTCAAAATCAAACCCAGCCGAGACGATTTAACGAAACTGATTTTATTTGATACACTGCTAGGAGATGAATGTTTTGTGCTTCTCTGAAAAAATATAGTCGTTCACTTAGTGATTTTGGATAGTCAACATTAGCATGTAAAGACTGTTAATAATTGTAGACCTACAAATTTTCAGTTTGTAAATTTGTTCCCTGTTTGCTGTTGTAGTTTGTCCTGTCGAGTTTTCTATTTCGAGAATTTGCTTCTACGTTTTAAATTTTAACATTTATTTTGTTATTTTTAATAAATTATCAATAAATTTCTTCGGCATATATAATATCTATTCTTTGTACACTTCTCAAGTTGAATTCAATAAAAAAAAAATCATTTTATAATAACACGAGTTTTGTATTAGTTACCGAATGATGAGCTAAACATTTCGAAATATAAAAATTTTATCAGCCGAACTCGTTCGTTTACGTGACTTGCGCCTGTTCCCATCACCCATTCTTCAACATTCACATAGGCCAGACACAAAACGATGCACAAAATTATCATCTTAAAATCGTCGAAGGCCAACACTGAACTCTTCCGTACGCTTATTATTGGTTATATCTAAATGTCAATAATTTGAAAACTATTATACTTCTACCATATTACTACTCACTTCATTTCTCCAGTAATTCACATTGCAACTCACAGCTACGAATGGCCCGGCTAAGGTTTCAACTGGGTAATAATAGCAAAAATTTGTTTTCCTATGCTGGTAGGTCGTAGTTTTTTTTTCTTTTTGATAGAAAAAATGCGCGTTAAAATTTCTCTCACGGATATACGTTACACAATCAATTAAAAATTAATTGTAGTTTATAAAAGAAATGAGCCACAACGTTAATCGGTTAAAATTAATCATCATCACCACGGTCCAGTCCGACCCTCCATGACTTTATTGACATCCATCCACCTCCATCTGCCAGCTTCCGCAGCAACCTTCAGGTCCGCTTAAGTGCTTAGAAGTTTTTTTAATATTTCTACTTTTAAATTGATATTCCAAAGATTTAAACATTTCCCTATTGTCCTACCTCGGGAAACTGGGTCTCTGGACGCTAAACGAAGATTGATTGATTGATTGATTGATTGATTGATTGATTGATTGATTGATTGATTGATTGATTGATTGATTGATTGATTGCAAGGCTGACTCTTTCACTTTTTTTGTGAATAAAATGGATTAGAAAAAAGTATGAACGTGAGGCACGTACGTGATTAAAATTAATGGGCTTCAACGTCATCCACATTCACGGCAGTAACAGCCACAGTAACATCCGACACACTCAGAGCCAAAGTTTACCGTTAATAATAAAATTAGTAATAGCAACAGTTATGTTTGAATAACTGACGGCTGTAGTCCGCGTCTTTATTATACATGCTTATAGTTGTGTATGTGTGTAAGAAATATCATTAGTTTCTGTTTTTTAACAACCCAAGAGGGTTTAAAAATCTTAATTATCTAAATAATTATAGTGATTCAACATTGGAAAGAAGCCTAATGAACGAAACAATCATTACATTCAACTTAATTATAATTAAACATTTCAACTGTATCATTTACAAAACAATATCAACAAATTCATGGAGAGATATTTCAAATGGATTCCTTCAACTCCACATTTCTCCACCCCTTCCGTCCCAGCCTCACCCACCCACCTGGCCATCCACCATCCACCCGCCACCACTAGCACCCACAGAGACACCTACAGAATGGAGTGTTGTGGGTGGTTCTGGACGCACAACATGAACTCACTGACCGGAATCTTCTTGATCATGGTCAGGTGAACCGCACGAAAGATCGGAAATCTGTGTGTGTGTTTGCGTGCGTGCGTGCATGTGTGTGCGTGCGTGGGCAAATTTCTGTTCAAGTGGAGCAATTTCTCCATATTAATTTCTACTTACTCCATATTAATTTCTACTTATTATTTATAATATAAACAATCAATCGAATTTACTTTTTGAAAAATTGTTTGAAATGTTTGAATGGCCAGCTTACAACACATTTCTGCATTGTTAAACTGAACAAAAACTAAAAAAAAATTTTTCCAATGAAGACTTTAACAATGTGGTAATAAAAATTTAATGGCGTTTTCCAAAATAAATAATTAAAATATTGAAGCTATGAATTTAATAAGAAGATAATATGAAACGAACTTTTCCATGATGTCCCTGTGAAAGAAAAATAATAATTTAAATATAACAACAAATTGACATTTTTGAGAAACAATCGTCAATAGACCTGAAAATTTCTCAAAATTTCTCATACCATTCAAGAAAAGAATTGCAACTTTAGTGTTATCCAGGCTAATTTAAACGCTTCGTGTGCTGTCCAATTAAAACAGAATAACGGAAGATAAGAACATTGAAAAATAGTAAGATGGCCCTGCCTTAATATCATCCCATCCTCCGTATATTATCAACAATATCATAATCATTATCAACAACATGTTTGCCTCCATCATCATCATTATCATCATTATCCTCATCATCATCATCATCAACAGTCTCCACCATCACACAATCACCCTTAACACACTTCTCCACTTCACTCTCCCTCTCAAGTATGGAATAGATGTTGGCAGCTGTGATCGGCCCCTGCAGCTTCTGTCCTTGTAGCATTTCTTCTTCCAGTTCTGCCAGAGTCTGTTGTTGTGTTGGTTGGTGGTGTAGTTGTTGATGTTTTGTTGTTGCTGTATTGTGTTGTTGTTGCTGTACTGTGTTGTTGTTGCTGTATTGTCTTGTTTTTGTTGTATTAAGGTGACGTTGTTAAATTATTGCTGTGTTGTTAATGTAGTTGTGGTTGTTGCAGTTGATACACTTGTCGATGCGATTGTCGTCGTGTAGTTGTTGATTCTAATTTTGTGTAGTGTAGCGTCTGCAGTGAAGCTGTTGATGCCGGTGTTAATGTAGTTGTCAATGTAGTAAATTGTGTATTGTGTAGTTGTTGTATTACGTTGTCGTTGCTAATGCCGTTGCTTCAATATCAAATGTGTAGGCTACACGACCTGCATACAACTGCGCTATTCCATGTTGTTTCATTCAACGAAAACTTCATCCACAAACACAAATAATGACCCTTAATTATAATTATTAAAGTAATTACAAATATAAAGTAATTTACACCAAAAAATCAACCATTCAAAAACCTTTTCCGGTTCATTGGCAAAATACTCGGCCACCTTCCTATTCCTACCCCCGTAGCTGGAGGCTATCAAGTCGGCTATGGCGCAACTCTCGAAGAACGTCTCCAAACGCGTGTCTGACGTCAAGAATTAGTGGTAGTAGTAGCGGTAGTAGCAGCAGGGGCAGTAATAGTAGCAGTAGTAGAAGCAGTAGTAGTAGTAGTAATAATAATAATAATAACAGTATCAGTAGCAGTAGTAGTAGTAGTATAGTAGTGCTAGTAACAGTAATTGTAGCTGCAGAAGCAGCAGTAGTAGCAGCAAATGTAATAGTGGTAGCAGCAGCAATGGAAAAACTAACTTGGAAAGTACCTCTTGCAGAACTCGATCATCTCCACAAATCCCAGCCTTATGATGGTGGCCTTCGTGTTCTGACTGCCCGCCCTCGATCCATCCACCAGCCCTGCCGCCAATGCTATCACGTTCTTCGTCAGCATGATGTTAATAAAAATAAAAAAATCAGTAAAACGAAATTATTGTTACTTGTATTTATATTGTTATTATTATCGTTGGTAGTAATGAAATCACTATCATTTTCTCATTCGAAGTATTGCTATGATGGCCTACTGTGTACATTTTGCAATAATCAAGTTAGCACCACGTGAAGACCACTCAGGGACGGATTCAAAACTTCAGAGGCCTCACAGGGCATTGAAAGAATGGAGACTCTAATTGCTTTCCAAATGAAAAATCTTATTTCCCGCCACATATCCCACGAGCTTATTGCTAAAGAACAAATTATTTCAACAATAATTCATTGCTAAATTAGCGTCAAATGAAATTTACTAAAGAATAAATTAACGTTAAAAAAATCAAAAAAAAATGTTTGGTAGAGAACGTAAAAGTTGTCTTAACACAAATAATTCTAAAATTCTGTTGTGCAGATGTCTTTTGTAAGTTTTTTTTTGCCTTTCATAAATCCGACGCAGAGAACATCATTTCACACACACACACACACACACACACACACACACACACACACACACACACACACACACACACACACACTATGTGTATGTGTGATCTCACACATACACACACCATGCACACACACAACTTGTCAACACTTTTAAACTAGTTATAATAACAAACAACAGACCAAATAAAAACCGTAAACAACCATGGCAAAAACAACTTTAACTGATCAACAACAGAAGCAACAGCAGCAAAACAATTTAGGTTAGAATTCACCTTAAGGGCGCCACACATCTCGACAGTTTCTTCATCAGGGACGCATCTGATTCGAAAGTACTTCGTCTCAAACAACTTTTTGAAGATTTCTGAATGCTGTAGGTCGTTGCATCCTTCCATGTTAACGTCGAGTGGATGTTCAACGTGGTTGGGAAAGTGCGAGTTTACGTTGAAATATCAGTTGTGAAAAAAATACTAAATTTATTTAGGAATACATATCTGTAGAAGGCGCCTCGATGTATTTCGACAAATTTTGTAACATTTAAAGTTTACTACATATTGAAAATTTAAGAAATTTTACAAAAATTTCATAGATGTATATAAAGAAGCGTGATATAACATAAACATTTCGCTTATTATTAACATAAAAACAAACAGTTTAAACGCGATTTAAAGCTGACCGCAACTTAACAACGATAGCAGCAACATCACCAACTGCACCATTAACTAAACCATTTGCAACTGCAACTGCATTAGCGGCAACTACATCAGTTGCTACTACATCAGCTGCAACAACTCCTTCTGCAACTACATCAGTAGCAACAACATCAGGTTGGCAGGTCAGCTCATTTGGTAAAAATGCCATGCAAATGGGTAATCACCAGATTTGAAGGTACCTAGCCAAAACAACTCAACCGACAGATCTTTGTATGTGATAATTGGGCAAATGTGTATTTATACCGTGTGTTGTTGAATGTAGGTATTGTATCTATGGCACAAAAATGTTAATGCATCAGGAACAATATGAACGCATAATAAGAATAAACATCACCAACACCAACTACCAACCAATAGTTGCCTCACAGAACTCCTCCCTGATGACCCCCTCGGCAATGTTGGCCCCCATGAGGGCAGCGCAGGGAACGTTCAATTCCCGCCTGATCGTGTTCGATATCAAACTCAACCTTCCATCTTCCACGTTGAAGCCCTAGTGTAGTACGATGATGATGATTCCGATTGTGACATCATCATGATGATGACGAATTCGATTGTGACATCATCATCATCATGACGATTTCAATTGTGATATCATCATGACATGATAACGTTTATAAATGTTACGCGGTGACGATGATTTCAATGGTAATTTGATGATGATGAATGCAAAGAACACTTCTTTCAACATTGTCAAAACAGTCATGATTAGGAACGTACTTACCAAGCATGTTTTTATTATTATTATTATTATCATTATTATTATTATTCCTTAATTGTTGATAATAAATTCTCGTTCTTTAATTAAACAATTAATAATTGCTGATATTGTTTTGTATCATCGTCATCATTTCTATAACAATCATGATCACATCTTCATATTAATCACTGCGAATTTAACTTCTCATCTATCTATCAATCAATCAATCAGCTAATCGGGCCATGTTGTGATATAGTATTTATGTTGTGTATTTCTGTCAAAACACCATCTAGCTTAAATAAACATCATTAATTAATTAACATCCTCTTCAATAACATCATTATATCATACATCACCACCTTAATCATCGTCATAGCAATGGCAGTCTTCTTAACCCTGTACCTCAGTTGGTAGCAGACGTTTGGAATGAACTGGATTGGGAGGACGAAGACCAGGATATCCGATCCCACACAGGCTTTGAATAAATCTGGGATTGCTACCTGAATAGGAGATTGTTGATAATGTTGATAATAATGTTTTGAATGATTGATTGATTGATGAGATGCCGATTTAAAAGGAGGGACAGGGGTTTGGTTACATTGGCAATGATGACCAACTTAAAAGAAACAAGCACACTTAACGGCAGTAAGAATAATGACAACGATGACAAACGAACAAACAAATGAACGAACGAACAAACAAATGAACGAACGAACAAACAAATGAACGAACGAACAAACAAATGAACGAACGAACAAACAAATGAACGAACGAACAAACAAATGAACGAACGAACAAACAAATGAACGAACGAACAAACGAACGAACAAACAAACAAACTGAAACAGCCAAAGAAGCAGACTGACAATATTATCAGGCAGGATGTGTCCTTTGAGGTACTTGACATTTACGTGTGTCGTGTTGATGATCTCACTCAACTTCTGTCCCTCCACGATCTCCTCATACACGTACAAGTACACCTTGTAGTCGAACAACGACGGGTACTTCAACGTATTTACCGCCGCCAATTTGGCTACAACTGAACCCCTAGCGAGTGTAAATTGCAAAATTGTAATTGGAATTGTAAAATTGTAATTTTATTTGTAAAACTGTAATTGTAACAGTTTAATAGTCTAACTTAAGTTATGAGTGTAGTAATCGTATGAATAATCAATAATGATATTGAGAGTTTACCAGTTGCCAGAGCCAATGATTGTGACTTTGTACAGTGACATGATGCAAGACGACAGCTATAAATGATAACTACTTCTCTTACAACAATTTTTAAATTTAAGCGCTAAAGTTGAATATGATAAACTTAAGCTTATAGTTCAAACCTGTTTGCCAACAACGTTTTGTTTTGTAAATATGAACGTCACAACGAATTTATAGAGTGCCTGATTGAACATCAGTGGAAAATGTTTTACGGCATAATAGTTTTCAGTTGAAAAATCAATTAAACGAAAGTATTTTTCAATATGAAGCGTTTTTAAAAAATTTCGGTGAGGCCAAGAAAGGTTTTAGAGAGACCAAGCCAACTCTTTAAATTTAAAATTTTTTACAAAGAAAAATTAATTTATTTCAATCAAACCTGTGGAACTATGGACGAGCTAAGTGGAAAGAAAATTAATTTAAAATGTCCAGGAGCCACTGTGCATGGTATATGATTGCAAAGTTTCAGGAAGGCATGATGAGGATGGTGATGGCGGCGGTGATGATGATGATCCCAATCGGTCAACAGATGGTTGATATTTCATGGATTGTGTTTCAAAAAAACGTCGAACCACCAATCGTTTGCTCTACTGCACTGTACATATGTGCTGTTGAGAGGCTGGGTTGTTACTAGGAAATCGATACCGTTGTTGGTTTGGTAGATAATTAATTGATAGAAAGCTAATGTTTCGGTTTGAACGTTGCTGCACGATGGTTTGAAGGTTTGCTGCTGTTTGCGTGGATGTTAGTTGGGAATGATTGTTTCTTTTTTATTACAACGTTAAGGAGCATTTATGCCGCTGAAGCCAGTGAAGCCAGTGAAGTTGATAATGCGTGGTTGGTTGCTGGTGCTGCTTTTCGAAATATAAATTGTGGCTGCTTCAACAGATATTTTATTGCTGTTTTTATTATGGTTGGTCTTTGTTTTTTATTTCAAGATTTGGACAAAATGAATCATTTTTCGCATTGTAATTGCAAAAGCACATCTGTTGTTCTGATTGAAGAGACTTAACTATCAGATTAACAAAAGAAACACTTCTTATTTCAGTTAATAATTTGTATTGAATGAAAATATCTTAATCAACAGTGCAACAGCAAGGATAATTGTGTCAGAAATGTTTCATTTTAAGCTAATGAATACACGAGACACGTTAAAATAGTGACGACTTTAGTGTATATACGAATTAAAATTTATATTCAGCAATGGTTTTATTGGGAAAACAATTTCAAAACACTCAAAACTAATAAATTAATGTAACGATCTAAAATTGTTTTAACCTTAATGATTGTTAAAAAAAAATTTACAAAAAACGTTAAAATATCAAAAAAACTCGTAAACTGAAACTGACTGCATGAAATGTTTATTCAATATAATTGTTAAAAATATAGCTCATTAGGTAAGAATGAAATCATGAAATCTCTAAAGTTCATTCGAATTATTTCAACTGCAAACTCAAACATTTGTTGCTGTTATTATCAACAGAAACAAATTGTCAACGATCATGCAAATACGATCCAAACCATTACATTTCATTACATTATATTACATTGAAGATGAATCTTTATTTTTATTAATAGTTTAGAAATCCTATTAACAAATTCTCAACTTATTTTGGTTTTCTTCTTTTAAAAAAAACTTAAATCTTAAACACATTTTTTTGGACAAATGTAAAAGCATACATAAACTATTTAACTCATTTAAGAAAATTAAATATAGGAGATAAATGACCATTAAGAATATATACTCCTTACACGTTTGGCTTCATCATCATCCTGTGGTAGGTGATGGGGTATGATGCATAAGAGAATGCGCCAAAAACGCCATTCATGTTTTGACAATAGCACTCATTGCCATTGTACCAATTTCCTGAAACATACCACACGGCACAATTGATTTTGGGAGCTAGGTCGTTATCCATATCAAAAGTTGTAAACTTCATTCCGTTGTGAACCATAGTGGGAGTAGGACAGTTTAGAACATTGCTCCTATCTCCAATGTATCCAGATACGTTGAGGGAATATTTTTTAAGCTCCGAATTGACCTGGGATTGTGTTAATTCTTTATAGTTAATTATTTATGAATGAAAACATTTTTTAAAAATCGTGAAAATAGTTGATTAAAAATAATTGTAACCATTTAAAAATTTTACAATTAAAAGTATAAAAAGGTTCAGTAGAAATTGTAAACGCCATTACATTTTAAATCTAATGATACAGTTTGGTAATTCTGCGAATTTGTATATTTTGCAATCGACAAACCTTAAAATGATCATATTCATCAGAGTACCAAGCTCCTTGAATAAGAACTTCAAATCTCAACCTGTAATCAGCCGATGTCGTTAATTGGTGCATCTTCTCCAGACCAAACCAGAAGTTTTTGTCGTAAATACCAAAACCTGACTAGAAAATATGTGGTATTATTTGTATAATAAAAACTCAATTGTAGTTATTAATTCTTAAAAATTTACTTTGTATGTATTCCATGGTTGTTTGAAACTTTGCGAACCATCAATCCTCTGCTGAATGACAATCCATTCATTAACAGACGTAACAGGGGTTAGAGTAGCAAACGTTGGAATGTTCAACAAAACTGACTTGTTGACAGCGCTGTATGCTGTTGTACATTAAAGTTAAAGGTAGTCACAACTATGAAAAAATATTTTTATATAATTTTTTCACACATAGATGTACGGTTGAAAAAAGGCAAATGTTAATATAACCGTATAAAGTAACGAAAAATACCTTGAGGATCAAGACAGATGGACAACTGCCTGTTACCAGTGAGACACATGTAGAGAGCACAAGGATTTTTAATGCCAGGTAGTGAGTTGGAACAAGAGTAGAACAATCCACCGTTGAAGGTGAATGGAAAGTTGCAGGATTTGCTCACGGTTAAAACTGTGATGTTATCTTTATGAAGATTGACATGAAAAAAGATAAAAAAATTGTTATCGTTCTCTATCTTTGTCTCGCTTTCTCAGCTCATTTTGGCCAATAAAGTTTTTTTCATTTATTTTCATGCTGTTACATCATCACACTTCATTTAAGATTTGCATTAACCCATTCTTTATGTGAACATTGGGCGAAACTCAGACTTTCGTACGGGTATGTTGCGGTGCTTGCGCTTGCAAATAATGCGTTGTGTATGAACGTTTTAAAACTAGGGTCTTGAGACTTGATTTAGGAAAAGGCAGGGCGAACTTTTGTCTTTGTGCTTCCACAAAAAAGAACCTCTAGAAGAAAGATTTTTTTTTCAAGACCCGACAACTAAATGTAGATTTTTTGTCGTTTTCCTAATCAGACTAAAAAATTCATGTTGTGTCTTAACTGCAGTGATAACATCTACTCAATAATTGGGTTAATTTCTGAGTTTTAAATGACATCGCTTGGCTTGGGGCTGGGTCGCCTGGTCCTGTTACGCAGTGACCTGGTTTAACCCAATGTGCTTAAGCGTTAGGTTTGATTAACATTGTACATGTAAGTTGCAGGAGATTAGACGCCGGTAATAACAATGATTAAACCATATTTCAAAAGGATTCTCTCATAGCCAAGTTGCATAATGGGTTAAAAATACAGAGATGTTTAAACATTCCACAAAAAAAACTTTATTTTCAAAAATTAAAGAACTCAAAACTTTTAAAATATAAATTTAAAAAATTTTATTTCACAAAAACACCAAATCATTTGATGGAGAGCTGTTGAATTTTTAAAAACATCTGAACTTTGAATTTCTGGAAAATGTTTTCCTATTGCAACATTAATCTAAACTTATAAAACGTAAAGTCCTATTGCTACCAAAAAAACATCAAATCAACTTTTAGAATAAAATATATAGAGATTGTTGGATTATAAAGCATGTCCAGTAAAAATTGGATTGTGATTCCCACGTCACAAACATGATTAAATGTACCAAAGTTCCTACCCATTCAGTTTGATCATCATCCTGCAATATATGAAGGAAACACTAGCATAATCAATATAAGCAGTACCAAACGGACAATTCACACTCTGAAAATGGCAGAGACTAAACCAATTTCCGGAATAATACCCCAACGCGCAGTTGTAACCGGGATAGGGATTGTTGTCCTGGTCAGGAGTGGAAAATTTATTGCCATTATGACGAAGTTTGACATTGGCTTGGTTCGGGACATCCGCCTTATCTCCAACGTGACATGACGAAGGCCACTACTCGCGAAGTGGAATTTGTCTTGAAGATGCTCAAAATGCCCATGGTGGAATATGAGGGATTTCAAGGATGTATTAAATGTTAGATCAGCAATTTTGAAAATAGTACTTTTTAAAAACAAGAAACCAATAAATACACTGGAATGAGAATGAAGAGTTAGAGCAAGGATGTTTGTTGGAGTAAAGCCTGGCAGTTTTATTTTAAATGGTCAGAGGTTTTTTTGTCGCATTAGTCGCATAATCTGATGATATCTGATGTATGTTTATAGAAGGTGAAATGTTTGTCAAAAATGACATCTGGAGGTCTTGCTCTTCCTATGTTTTGGAGCAAAATTTTCAGCAACTGCTGGTATTTGTCGACAAGCAGTGTCTCAGACTTGTGAGGACTAAGGAGGAAAAATATTTATTTGCCAGGTGCATTTCCGTAAGAAGCGTAGATTTAGGAATTGTTGAAAAAATATCAAAACTAAAATTTTCTAACTCGCCTCCGAATGTTGAATTTTGGATAATTTTAATGTATGTATATAAAAAAATTGAAATAAAATTAATTGAAATTGAAATAATTGCTTATTTTAATGAGAATAACCTAAAAGAGTTCTAAATTTGAAATAAAATAAAATGTCAACTAACATATCGCCAGCTTGGTTGCAACATCCTGATTAGAAAACAGAAAAATATTAACCGTGTGAATAAAAATTTCACAAATATAAATGAAAATTTTTTGGAAAATATTAACAAACTAGCCTTGTAAGCTTGACAAAAAAATTTTTTTAAAATGATTTTAAAATGAACATCACAAGTGAAATGAAACAGTTGGCAATATTTAGCTGGATGAGTAGCATTGCTGGATACGTAGTTGAATGCATTGCAAGTGATGTTACCATCAGTGGGAGAAACATAATGAGAACATTTGGAAGAACATTCCAGTAAGGATCGTATATTGGTTAGTACTGCGGTTGGCTCGGAAACAAAACACATGGGATTGTCTGGCTCTCCCATCATTCTATATTTCTTGTCAACTGCTGAAGCTAAAATGTGTATAGCATAAAATGTTTGTAGCGTAAAAACGTGGAATAAAATTAACATTTTGATATTTAAATTTTGATTTATAATTATGCCTGAATTAATTAAGTTAATATTTTATTACAAACAATTTCAGTTTGCACGTTTAAATAATATTGCGCAGATGTGCCTTAAATTCCTTAATGCATTTGTGACTACGTTTAATAGAAAGGAGATGAAGCGTGTTTGTATGATTGTGTTGTCTTGTCGGAGCTAATTAATTGGTTGGCAAAATTTAATGAAATTATCAGAGAAACAATTTTTCAAAATAAGAAATAAATTTGCGTCATGTATAGAAAAAATTTTCTTCGAATACAATTTTTTTAAATGAATTTTGCATTATTGAAAATTCTATCTCTACAAAAACATGACGGAGACGTTCTTTTTATTAAAATACACGCCGTTTCGTCCGTTCGTTCATTATAATTTGCTCTATTATTTAGTTTGTATGAAATAAAATTCCTACAGAAACATAAAAAACTACACAGATCCCCACACACCACACATTGTATATTATATATACATTGTATAATTGTATATATAATATATATATATTGAATTCAATATATATATATATATATATATATATATATGTGAAGGAAAAAATAAAGGATAAAATACATATATATATATATATATATATATATATATATATATATATATACACACACAAAAAGATATATATATAAATATATAATGTATATGTATATGCACAACTAAACACATAATAAAAACTCAACAAAAAAACAAAAATCAAACAGCAGATACACGTAAACATGTATTTTTATTTCGGAATGAATTTAATCACGAATCTACGTCCTATTCAGCTGAACACGACAAAATATTTATTCCTTTCTTTACAAGGCAATTAATCATTGGAAATGGAAATGAAACAAATTTTTTGTAGAAGAACATACCTTATGTTATAAACCACCAGTGGCCGATCCAGCGGGCCGGAGCAGAACTTTTTGTATTAAAAATCAGTAAAAGTCAGTGTTTTAGCGAGAAAATGTTGGCCCCCCTTTAAAAATTTTTCCCCAGCCAATCAACACATTGAAAAATATTGAAATATTTTCAAATTTTCCTGCCCTGTCAAGTTTGAATTTTTTTTAATTTGGCCCACCCCTCCCTCTAAAGTTGCCTAGAGATCATCTGCTGTAAATCACGCTGAATTACGTGTAAACAGTTTGTATTTTCATCATAAACAAGAATATTATTTTCTACACTTCTCTATCGAAAAAATTGAAATTTTTTAGTTTAATTTTTACTCAGCAATTTGTTCTGTTTGAGGGGATGCTGTTTTTGCCTTGGAAGTACAATGAAACTTATATTATCCAGCAGGAAGAATTTAATTATTCATTGTTTGCTTATCAGAGGACATTTTGAGGTTCATGTTTGATGACTTCACAAATTTTTAATTTTTACAAGCCTCTTTCAGATTTTTCAACAAATAACTAAAAAAACTATTTGAAAGGAATATTTATTAGCCTTGTCTTTCTTTCATTGACATAAACTTATAATTTGATTCTGCGTTAATGAAGGTTCACAATCTGCTTTAAATGTTCATTTGATTGTTAAATCAATAATAATCGTCTTGTTAATGAAATAGTACAGCAACTGATGTGAATTAAACTCTCTTTTATTAACACGCTTCATTTATTGTTCATTTGTATTTTACATCCATCATTAACACTTTTAATTGATTTTTAATGTCTATCACCTTGTGTTTATCAAATAAATGCTATTTAATCTTGACACAATATACTATACAACATGAACTACACTTTTGTGTTTTGTACAGTTCTGTGTGTGTGTGTGTGTGTGTGTGTGTGTGTGTGTGTGTGTGTGTGTTTGTGTGTGTGTCTGGTGTTTGTGTGTGTCTGGTACAATACAAATGTGTGTATTGTGTAAATATTTGTATATATTATATTGTGTATTTAACATACTCTTTGTATTTTTCGTTATATTGATCTATTCACATGTTTTCATTTACTGTAACTATTTTAAATTATACTATATTCTATATTTACGTCAACTAATTTCACAGGTTTTTTGTTAACAAATTTCTTATTGTTATTAAATTATTTATTATTAAATTAATATAAATATTATTTTTAATAAGTATTTAAAAGTTAATGAAAAGATCATTGAGTTAGAAGTTTTGCATTAGAGGCTTTTACACATTTTGAAAAATGTTGAACAATTTTTTAAATAATTTATGAGTCAAACAAACAATGTAGAAATAATAAGTATTACACTGTGATACAAATTATTATATTAAATTATGCTTAAAACCATTTTTCATTGAAATCTTTGTTGGAAAATGATAATTTTTTTCAGTACATCTTCTTTACATTTGCGTTATAATTATAGTTTGGCGTATGATTATGGTTGAAACAGCGATGAAGGACAACAGCTCAACAGCAGGCAGTGATTAAATAAGAAACGTTGAAATGCCGAGAACCAGCTTGCCTCGAAAATAAAATACGCTCGATTTGAAATCAATAAATTTGTGAAAATGTACTAAAAACAGAACGCATTTAGGAACGCGAGATGGTATAATGGTCAAAGTAGCTGGTTCTGATGCTGTTAGGCTGGGTTCGATTTCAAACAGATCCTTGGCCATCAGCATCAAGCATCATCTCGGCCATCACATTTTCATGTAATGGCCGAGATTCAGTTGTATTAGTGAATGAATGAATGAATGAATGAATGAATGAATGAATGAATTAATTAATTAATTAATGAATGAATGAACGAATGAATTAAGAGAAACATAATAATGATAATAACACAATAACGTATCAAAAATTTTTGACACAGAATATGACATTTAGCAAAAGTATTCTTAAGTAAAACTACTGAAGCATAAGTATTAGAGGCGAACGATGTTAACGTTCATATTTAGTATAGTATACATTTGTCTCACGCAATTAGACCCGGTGAATTGATTTATTGAATGAGTTTAGTTCTGACAGCTTGTTCACAACAAATAATAATTATTATTATTATCATCATCATTATTATCATCATTTTTATAGATTTTATTATTAATATTATAATCTTAATCTAATACTTATTATTAGAATTTCTATCGAAGCAACATTGGGCACCATTTCTACCCCATCTTCAAATGTATCACATCACATAAAGTATAATTACCTTAATAAATTCTTGTGAACATAACTTGTGAACATTAATCCCAAGCTAGCATTAGAAATTGAAGTATTTTATTGTTGAATACTAATGCAATTGAAGTATTTTTGTCCTCCGAGATAGATATCAAAATTTTTTAATTTATCTTTAAACTTGAAGTTTGTGCGTGTTGTCTGTGTCTGTGAGCGTCTGTGTATATGTTTTATCTGTAGTGTGTGTGTGTGTGTGTGTGTGTGTGTGTGTGTGTCTGTGTGTGTTTAAAATTACATACTATTTTTTGTTCTGCCAAATTTAGTTCTGCAATAACTTTATCTGGAAAAAAAGAGATCATTTCAGCTCATTCAACATTGCTACCATTATTTAAACAGATTTAATGTGTTTGTATGCCGTATGATGCGGTTGACTGACCAAACAAACAACAGCAAAAAATCTATCGTTAGATCAATAAATTTAAAAGCAATTAACCAACCCTTGTACGTTTTTAAAATACATGAGCACAAACAAAGATACAATTTCGCCCTTACATCGATTATTGGAGGTATGGAGAGCCAAAGGGGGCTTGCCCCCATCTTAATGTTTTGCATTTACGCTCCAGAGAATCGTTTGAAATCGGAGGATAACTTACATCACGAGCCATCGCAAACAGCAGACGATCACGTACTCTGAATGCTGTAACAATCCTTTCTATAATTAGCTATAGTCTACAAGGTGCAATGTATGATGCACGTCTGTTGAATTGAAGTCGTCCGCTTGAGAGACTCAGGGTCCACCGAGTCAGCAGAACAATTGAATTCCATTCATCTCTGTGTATGAAACTCCACCTATTTGTTATATATATATATATATATATATATATATATATTATATATATATTTATATTATGCACATTTGTTATAAATATATATATGTATGTATGTACATATATGTATATATATATATATATATATATATATATATATGTATGTGTGTTATCATATTATACTGAACTTACAAAGGCTTAGAAATGCATGTGCGTATGTATGTTATATATGAATTTATCAGATAAACGATTGTGTGTTAACTAGATTGTTATCAATTATACATATGCATAATCTATATTATCATGAACATGAACACAAACATCCAGCAATTGTATTCAAAATGAGGAGCGTAACATAACTTAAAGGATAGACGCAATTACACTTCTTATTGGTTTTTAGAATGTAATTAATTATCCTTTATTACCAAAGCATAATTGTTGGTTTTAAAAATACAATCATTTATAGGAGCAGTTAAGCTACACAGTAGGAATATAAAGAAATATAAATAATTTCATGAATATAGAAATGTGTGCGTGTGTAGATATGTCTTGCTATGTTTAAATAGAGAAGATAAATTTAATATAAAGTTTTGCATACATATCATAATAATTAATTAATATATATATATATATATATATATATATATATATATATATATATTTCTATATCTAACAACTAACAAACGACATTTTGAAAAGCTATATAAACATAAAACACAGTGCAAGAAACCAGGTAGTTCAGAATCGCGGTGTACCTACATGTAGGTGATTAGATGACGGAAGAGGGACAAACAAACTTGTAATCGGAGCTAGTGCACTGGTACAGTGAGGTCATCATACAATTTAAAGGATGACCAGTAACGTTCTTTTTAACTAATTTGCATCTCAGCGTACTATCCTTCTATCAGCGACCTCATCCAAAGATATTTATGGTCATTTAATTATTAAAAATTTTTTTGGAAAATTTGAAGTGGTAAATATAACGGTGCTGTGCGTGTGTGCGTGTGTGTGCAGGCTTGGAAAAGTTTCTGGAAGTGTGTGGAAAAAGTTTGTGGATAAATTTTTAGAGATGGCGTTCGTTAAGAATGGAGATTGTAAGAGAGGAGTGGCGGTGCTCATTTGTTCACTCATGTTCATCATCTACGTCATGTTGGCCGCTGTCATACTTGAAAGAGGTTTGTTTGTGTTGTCGTTTGTGTTTTCGTTGTTTATCTTGTTGTTGCTGTTGTTGGTGGGATTGTTGTTGGTGGGATTGTTGTTGGTGGGATTGTTGTTGTAGAAATGGTAGGGTTTCTTATTATAAACATTTTTTTCTAAATAATTCAGATAAGTTAAATAAGTTGCATAAGTTAAATAATGATGAAATAACTACGGTTTGAAAGGAGGCTGTAGGAACAAAATGTTGGCTCGTTGGTGGCTGACTATTATTGTATAGCTATTAATCTCTTGTATTTATTGATTATAAGATTTTTATTAAAAGGTTAATGCTGAACTTATTTATAAAAAGCAAATCATACCTTAACAAATGCACTCGTTCTTCTCCAGTTTCCCGTTCAACGGACCCTGGTGATGCTTGTGAGTTTAACATGAATCATTCAAAATAAATTTTTAATTCCAATAAACTAAGTGAATGTACGTACCTTAAGCACTGTTAATTTTATTGCAACATTTAACACTATCTTAAGCATTGTAACTCATTTAAACATTTGGTCATAAAGAATTTCAACCCCTACTCCTAATGTCTGTCTATTAAAATGTTATTAAAGTTAAATTTTATAAATAAAAAATTAAATTAAAATAAATTAAGTGGAAATAAAAATTTTCTTCACAGTAAAAAACAAATTATAATCTGACAAAGTTTATTTAAAATCGCAAAGTATGGGACACGTGCAATGTTTCAGAAACTGGAAGGAACTTCTCCTTGCTTTTCATGGAGAACAACGAGTCAAGTTTGACTCACCGACTGGAGATCTACCCGGCATACAGGTTCAACAGGGACGTCGACCTCAAACTGACCTGGTCCGCCTACAACCTTTCCCTTGTTAACATCACAACACTCGTTTGTTACATTTCTCTTTTTTCATTTTCAAATTATAATTAATACTGAAATTAATGATTGAATTTTTGGCTCAATGATTTGAAAGTTTTTAGATTTTATTGTTCGGGCTAAACAATTAAATTAACTGAATATTTATTTCTATCCTATAATACTGTAGAAAGCAGGCAGAACTCTGTCTGATACATTTTTTAAAAATCATTTCTAAATATAACTTTTTCTCCAAAATATTTCATGTACCATACAAATTTCATAAATTACAAATTCAAATAAATATTGAAATGAATGAGCACACATAGAATGAATGAATACAGGTTGGAGGGCCGTTGGTGGTGGCTGTGCCAGGCAGGCTGGAGCTGAACATGACGGAGAGGGCTTGGAAGTCCATTAAGATTGAAGTGGGGGAATTTTTTCCAGTGTTTAGTTTTTAATTTTTAAAGTAATTATCATGTATGTAAATTAGAAACTTTTTTATAGAAATATTGAATGCTGAGAGAGGCAAAAGGGAACTTTTCTTTGAAATATTTACTGAAGGCAACTAAATGTGAAATCAACCTTACAAAACATGTTCAAGAACAAATTACACAATATCAACAACTCTCGCCAACAGGCCAGCGACAAGATAGGTGTCTACGCCATGAACAGACACGAGGGGACCTGTGATGGGTTCATGGTTCTCCCTCATCACATGCTCGGAACCAAACATTATGTCGTCTGCTACTTTCCAGAGGTCGGTGTTGTTTATCGGAAATTTTCATTTATTTTTGGGATTTTATTTAATTAAAATATTCAGCATATTCTGTCGATAAAATCTTTCTTAGTGTTTTTTGTTTTAAGAACTTTACAAACTCCTCTACTTTCAAATTATCAAAAATAATTTAGAATTTTGTACTTGATTCATTCTAATCCAAAAGCAAACATTTTTTTAAATTGAAGGCGCTTGTTAAAATGGGTTAGACTGTTTGTATCATAATATAATGGAATAAATGCAATATGACAGAAAAATTGTTAAGTTGGTTTAATGTATCGGTAGAAGGGGTTGCCTATCAACATTGCATCTTCTGTTAAGTATGCAAATGCGTTAAATGTTAAAGGTCCCAGGATATTGTGTGCTTATGTGTACTTGTGTGGTATCTTACTTGCAATGCAACTGCAGCTGAACAATGGTTGATCAGTAAATCAGTAAAGCCAGTAAATCAAAACTTTTGTTGATTTTCAACACTCTGTTCACCATCGTCATAACATTTGCACGTTATATTTTAACCAATTTCAATTTTTTAACTTAATTTGAAATTTTGTTTGCTAATGTATTCTCAAACAAAACAATCAATTCATTCTAATTCAGTTTGGTTATTATTCATTCTTTTTGAAAGAAAAGGAGTGTGGGCGTTGAAACGATCGTCACGATTATTATTATTAATCTGATTGTTTGCACGCATCTCGTTGAATCATGTCTTCACTCACTCCAATCACTACCTTTTAGAATTTGTTAATATTTCTATCACAAGTCACTTCATGACATTTGCCAATAACTCTATTACTGTTGTTCTTATTCGTTTTTAACTATTTTGTCGGGCGTAATATTAGATATTTATGAATATTTAATATCTACGTTGTATCATACGCGTGTGTGATATACGTGTATGATACAGTTGTATCGAACACTTTTATCATGAACTTGTATCATGAACTTGTATCAAGATTTGATCTGGCATAATCTTAAATACTAATGTTAATTTTTTTTAATGTTCCATGCATAATTTATTAATTTATTCAATCTTCCTTGGCGCACCTTGGTCCATACTTTTATTTTTGATCATCCAAGATGAATTACGGCATTCGATGATGAATTATTTAAAATTTCAAACATTATCCCAAAAAAAACAAAAAAAATTAAAATATAATTAACTTTTAATAAATTTGAAATTTGTTTTGCCACAGAACAAGCAGACTCAACTCGCCTTCGCCTCGGTAGAGAGCAACACAACGGTGGTCCTCTCCTTGCGAGCTGCAACGCGGCCCTCACTCGTCATCAGGTGGAACAACTTGACGTACAGAGGCGGCTCCAACATCACCTTCAACCTCGATCGAGATGAAACCGTGCAAATAAAATCCAATGGAGATCTCACTGGATGTGGCGTCTTCTCCGACAAACCAATCGCTGTTTTTAGCGGCAACGACTTAACGAAGGTAGCGGAAAAAGTTGATATCATCAACGAAGATAATTTAACTCTAAATTATTTGGTAGAACAAATTCCTGACGTGAGCCATTGGGGCACGAGGTTCTATCTGGCACCTTTCATTTCATCTAACAACAGCGATAGCTCAGATTACCAGGTTAAAATTGTCTGCTCAAATCCCGGCACAAATATTGTTTTATATTTGTATGATCAACCATCGAGTATATTCTGCAGCAATTCTGGAGACTCTAACAAAACTTTCATTCCATATAATAAGGCTGTATCCATCCACTCAAACTATCCAATCCTGGTTGCTCAAATATTTGGAAGTACGTTCACAAGAGGTCCCTCCATGGCCATCATCACTCCCGTCGAAAAGTTCAACTCATTCTACACATTCTCGACAGCATACAGTGAGTCAGCAGACATTCAGTTCAATCATTACATCCACATCGTCTCCACTTTCAACGAGACAAAAAACCTTCGTCTGAATGATCGTGAAATAGCGCAGTCGATCAAATGGTCGTCATTCACTGATAACTCGACTTACGTCTGGTGCATGCTCCAACTGCGAGAAGGTTTGCAGGCCATGCACAACAGCAACAAGATGCAGTTCGGTGTCACGGTGCTGGGCGATTCAAAAACTGCCAAGTATTGCTCATACGCCTACTCAGCTGGGCTGTGTTCTTGAGAGATGTACTATGTTGATAGGATGCATGTTTGCATGTACAGTAATCGTGTTTTTTAAATATGCTCATTTTGTGTGAAAAAAAAACTTAATGATTAAAATGAAGAGAGTCGTTAAAAAAATTTGACATCGTGTCACCTGTCTTCCAAGTCAAAACTCTTGTATTAACGATGTAATAATGAAATGGCTTTGCAATAGAAGTTAGTGATATATATTATACACACACACACACATAATTGTAATTGCTCAATATATACAACATATGCTCAATCAATGTATTTGTTTCCCGTACTACTTACAGTCTTGTGCTGTTTGTCTGCTGTTGTGTATCATTTGTTGAATATACAAATAGCTCAGCAAACATATGTGTTTGTTAACAATTTATTTTAATGGATTCTTGTAATTAATTATTATTTGCTAATTTTAATAAGACATTTTTTGTTGTGTTTGGTGCCATTTTTTTAAGGAGAATTTTTTTATTTTTGGAAGGATTTTCACGTAATATTTGTTGAAATTTCTGTTATGTTTTTGTTCTATTTTTAACAAATATAATCTTCCTATATCAATCAATTTTTCTATTTGAATTAGAATTAAAATTAAAATAAACTTACATGAAATGAAAACAAATATGACTACAATGGGTTTTTGGATGATCGGATCACATTGCATTTGATCCATGTAACAGCTAGTTAGCGTCATTGTTATGCCAGCGCAACATTCTTCAAGAAACTTTTAATTTTTTCAAAATATTTATGGAATTAAGTTAAATAAAATCCTTCTTAAATTAATTTTTTATTGAATCGACAAATAAAAATACCATCTATGGAATGTAGTGAAAATAGACCTACCGAAAAATAGTACGTGACATTGATCTTGGTAAACATTCATTTAAAAATCTCAACAAAACGAATCAAACGTGATGGAATATTGTAATTTAACTTTCAAATACGCAACACAATTTCACGATTTTTTTTAATTTGCCGTTTTTATAACAGAAAAAATTCACATCATTCCAACATAGTTCATATTTAAATAACTCGTTCTATCTGTGATTAACAAGCATGAATTTGCATAAACAAAAATCAATCAATCGATCAATTAGTTTATAAAGCGCTATTTCCGCGATGTTCAACAGCGCTCCTCAATGAATTTTGCAAACAGATGGGTCTTGAGATGCGCTCTGAACTTCGTAAGTGATGGAGAAGTAGTCAGAGAAGAAGGTAGAGAGTTTCAGAGAAAAGAACCAGAGAAAACTATAATGCAGATTTAGCAAAAAAGTGTTTAACACGAATTAAGAAGAAGCGAGAACAAGAAGACGATCGTAAACCGGGGCGTTTAGGTTCAATTAATATATCTGATAAGTACTTAGGAAATAATTTAGATTGAGACATATACATAAATGTTCAAATTGTAGGTAGCCAGTGCAAGAGAACAAGATATGGAGATATATGAGAAAAGAAAGGGGCACGAGCAACTAGACGAGCAGCAGAGTTAAAAGCTTTACTTAAAGGATAGAGTATAGAGTCAGGAAGACCATAGTAGAGCGAGTTACAATGATCAATTCTAGATAAGACTAACGAAGTAACAAGAAGGAGAAGAGTAGGATCGTCAAGAAAAGGCAAAAGTTTTTTTTACTCTCATTAGATGAAAGTAAGAACTTCTAGCAGCACTATTAATCTGAGAAGAAAGAGACATGCTAGAATCAAAGTTTAAGCCTAGACTATGAAACTTATGAGGAACATTCGTAAGATAATAAAAAGAATAGTAACTGATACACGAAGAAATACAAAATACAAATAAATAATATTATCCCAAAATAAATTTAAGACTAGTGTACATACAACAACAAAAAATTGATTATTCTTGAAAAATTTTAAGATACAGTCAATTGGATTGGTTATATTAACTTTTCATGGTATTAGTAGAACGCACACTTCAAACAATGATAATTAGCTGTTCATTGATGAAGCCTTCATCACTGCGATTTAAATAAACTAGTAAATTGTCAGTTGTTTTTAAATATCTTATCAAATCATCATCATTTAACAATAAATTATGATGACAACCGCAACAACACTATTTTTATATATTTATTATTATTAATTAATTACGTATATATGTATATACATATATACATATATATATATATATAATTATTGTAGAAATATTGTTATTCTTTAATTTAAATATTACAACACTATTTGCAAACATACATTTATACACACATACACCTACACATACTCTTCACATACACACACACACACACACACACACACACACACACACACACACACATATATATATATATATATATATATATGTTGGTAATAGACCATAATTTTTACAATATTCTATAAATTCTACCGAATGTTTGGCGTTAATATGTTTGTAGTTCGTTTTTTCGATTTTTCTCACTAAAGTTTTTTGGTGAACGTTTAGTTTATTAAAATTCAAAATAAACTTATTTTTCGAATTCATGCTGCAAATAAGGCCATATTTCGATTCCGAATGAATCATCGTCAGTGCTCCTTGTTGTATATATAGGGAAATATTGACTTTGTCAAAATTAACTTTGACGTTGTAAAAATTAACTTTGGTGTTGTAAAATTGAACTTTGATGCGAATTAGGTGTCAGGTTTCTTAATTGGCTGGTCATCTTCTTTGGTCTCCTTTTCTTCATCGATAGCATCATATTCTTCTTTGTCACTATTTACGATGCTAGTTCTTATTACTTCTTTGTTTTCGTTGTTGGTTAAGCGCCGGGTTGGAAGTGAGGTTGTCATTTTTTGTTGTATATTTATTTTTGGTTTATTGATGTCGATTAGGACTGCTTCTGCAATTATAAGATGCGTGTAGTTGCTGTTCTGGTATATTACTTTGGTGTTGCTGTCGAGGATTTCACGGCTTATTGTGATTGAGTGTGTTGAGTCCAAATGAGATTTGATAGCACCACTCTGCTTATGCATCGTAAGCCTTCTAGTCAGTGAGGTAGTAGTAATCCCGATATATGAGTCATGTTGACGTGCACAGCCGTCAAAGGAGCAATTAAATTCATATATTACGTGATTACGCTTTAACTCAGAGTTATCTCTAGGACTGCAGTTGTTTTTCAGTATTAGGTGAGACGTCTTTTTATTGTTGTAATAAATTCGGAGTTTAACTTTACTATTTGGGTTGGTTGGTGTGACATTTTTATTGATGATATGCTTAAGAATAGCTTCATCTACCTTGTATGCTGTTGACATGTGATTTCTGTAATACAAGATGATGTCGTTATCTTGATTGTTGGTACTAGGAAGGTTATTGCTGTGTAGTAATTTGTTTTTAACAATCTTTTCAATAGAGTAAGTCTTATATCCATTGTTTACAAGCAGGTTAGTGACCCTCTTTAATTCAGCGTCGCGATTTTCAATATCGGAAGAGTGTGTGAATGCCCGGTTCACAAATGATTTTATTGTGCTGCTGTGTTCAGTGCATTCACTTTGTCCATTCAAACAAATTGCTGTATTCGTTTCTTTGACATAGACCGCGGTTTTGAATCGTTCTTCGCCACGGGTGACCAACACATCGAGGAAAGGTAAACGTTGTTCCTTTTCACTTTCAATGGTAAATCTAAGTTTTGATTTGTTTAAGGTACCAAGAAGTTGGGTGATTTGTTCAGGATCGTTATAGGAGACAAAGATATCATCCACGTATCTGGCGTAGATATTTGGTTTTAAACTTGCATTGTTTTTGAATGTTTCATTCTCCAGCTGTTCTAGGTAAAAACTGGCAAATAGGACGCCAAGGGGGGAACCCATAGCGACACCATCGATTTGCTTGTAAAGTTTGCCTGTGGGGCTGTGGAATGGTGCTTCAGTAGTGCAATTTTTACAACGTCAAAGTTAATCTTGACAAAGTCAATATTTCCCTATATATGCAACAAGGAGCACTGACGATGATTCATTCGGAATCGAAATATGGCCTTATTTGCAGCATGAATTCAAAAAATAAGTTTATTTTGAATTTTAATAAACTAAACGTTCACCAAAAAACTTTAGTGAGAAAAATCGAAAAAACGAACTACAAACATATTAACGCCAAACATTCGGTAGAATTTATAGAATATTGTAAAAATATATATATATATATATAAATCAAATCAAATTTGGACTCTTTAGACAACACAAAAAATTGTTTAATTAATTAATAATTATAAATTACGTAATTAATATGGTCTGCTGTACAATTGAAGCTGAAGCAACATAAGCAAGTAGGGATAAAAAAATAATTATTCATAATAATTATTCTCATAATATTTCATAATTTACATATTTTATTTTTACAGATTTTTAAAAAGTTTCAATATCTCAGCAACATTTTGTGTTTTTTTTTTATTTGGAAAGTATTCCGAACATTACAACACACTTGTATAGCAACAATACAATATGTGACCACTGATCAGTTTGTGTGCTTGTGTGTTTGTTTGTGTGTGTGTGTGTTTGTTTGTGTGTATGTGTGTATGTATATGTGTATCTATGTATCTATGTATCTATGTAATTTCATCTTCATCGCTTTTTTATCTGTCATATAATTCTCTCATAAAAAATTAAAAATCTCATATTTAATACAATTACACCATTGATATTACATCAAAGGACATTAAACAGCATTTTTAATATATTTTCAGAGACATTTTACAACTTTAAAAACTTTTTAAAAGTTCGAATCAAAAATTATTTTCAATTAAATGAGTTTTTAACAACCTTTCAATAAGCTTGTTTATATATTATGTAGTAAAGAAATAATAATGTAATAACTCAAAAGACATTTAATTGTTAGGACTTCGGAACAATTTCAATAGAATGATTTATTTCATTCAGTAGGTGACGGAGTTAATGAGGTCCAAGCTTGTGCTGTGTGTCGCTCTGCCCGGGTTCGAATCCTGTTGTTTGCTGACGATGACCGAGTGAGGTTGTGGCGTGTTCTCTGCCGCCACCACATCGGCGATGTTGTGGAGAATGGAGGATGTTGAGGTAGTTGTGTGGGCGTTGATAACGGTGTTGTTGTTGATGTTGTGGTTATTGTTACTGTTAATGGTGCTACTGCTGCTGCTGTTGTTGACGATGACAACCTGTGTGTGGTTTTTGTTGTTGTTGTTACTGTTAGGAAAAATTAGGGAAGAATTGTTTGATTGATTGTAAATGCTCAGATCGCTGTTGTTGGTGTTGTTGCTGCTGCTGCTGTTGTTGCTGCTGTTGTTGTTGTTGTATTTGGTCAACGACTGATGGTCTGCAGACGCGTTGTTGTTGCTGTTGTTGCAGTTGTTGTCGTTGTTGAAGAGGTTTGGTGTAACAGCAGGTTTGAACAAGCTGGACGATTGAAGTATGCTGTATTTGTTGCTGATGTTGTTGCTAACGTTGATAAAACTGTTGATGTTGTTGCTCATGTTATTGCTGTTGCTAATAATGATACCATTGTTGCTAGAATTGTCAGTTCGGTTACTGTTGTTGTTGTTTGAAGTTTTGTTGTTGTTTTGTACTGTGGCGTTGTTGTTGTTTACTGTGTTCCCACTATTATTATTATTATTATTATTGTTATTATTGTTGTTGTTGTTGTTATTGTTGTCTGGATCAGTTGATTTGGATGACTTGTCAGACTTCGGCCTGGTCTCTAGGTAAGCTTTCTTTCCTCGCTTCCATTTCATGCGCCGGTTCTGAAACCAAATCTTCACCTGATGATGATGATGATGATGATGATGATGATGATGATGATGATGATGATGGTGGTGGTGGTTGTTGGCCATGTTGTTTCCAAGTTCAGTTTGGTGAAAATATCACAAGGTGAAATAAAACAAGTGTGTCTGTAAAATGTACATTACAGCTTGGGTGTTTCACGGATTGACGTTCGTTAATAACTCTGGTTACAGTATACGCACATGCAAATCGGTGCTTGTGGTGAAGAAAAGTTTGCACGGGGACAACACCCCATCCCACCAACACGCATGTGGTAACGTATCATAGTTTCGTTCACTCTGTGATCACTTGTCGTTAGCCACTTTGTTGGTGTTGTGCCTTCCATCTATCTCGCTCACAAAATCATTTTAAACGTATCTACACGCGCGATCAATGAAATTTCTGGCAAGTGGAAAATAAAAGAATGAAATAGAAGGAAGAGAGGGCAAAAGAAATAAAAAAACGAATGAAATAAGGGAGAGAAACAAAAAGTTTAAAAAGAGAGAGAAATAGTGAGAGAGAGAGAGAGAGAGAGAGAGAGAGAGAGAGAGAGAGAGAAAGAGAGAGAACATGACGCAAAAGAGCATGAGCGGCTCACGAGATGAAAGAATAATCACTTAGCATTCAATTGCGGGCTGTCCGTGACGTCATCCCCCTGGCCTAATTAAGACCCGCCCTCTACTTGCTTTAATTTATTCATTCCCATCATTTCATCCTTCCTTCCTTCACTGCAACATTTATTTTCTTTCATGCTGCACTTTCGTTTCCACGTTTTCCATCCAGCTTTTCGGGCACTTGTTACCGACGATGTTTCCAACGTGTGTGTGTGTGTGTGTGTGTGTGTGTGTGTGTGTGTGTGTGTGTGTGTAAATGAAACTGTACATGTGTGTCTGTGTGTGTTTATACAGGCGTATATGAATATATGATATATATATATATATATATATTTATATATTCTTGCGTGTATGTTCAAATGGGTTTGTGTATATATGCATGTATTGATGTAATTGTAGGGTACCCTTTAACTAATGTGCATGTGTATCTATATAAGGTTGCATAGTTATAAAGATGTCCGTGCTATGCGAGCATGTGAGTGTGAGCGTGTGTATAATTTGGTTTCTATCATGATGTCATGTCATATTTCTATGCATTTGTGTGCGTGCGTGTGTGTATGTGCTTGTAAACGTGCGTTAACTTATGATAAGTGTTTGTGCAAATTAATTTATGCATATTCATCCATGTGTATGCAATGTGATGTACACTGCATAGCCAGCTAGTTATATGAATGTTGTTGTGCAGACGATCGTGAAAAAATTAATTTAAATACATCCATACATGTGTTTGTTCTTCTTGACTGACATGTAAGAGTGGATGTTGTTTGTACGACACGTTCATACGTGTGTGTGTGTGTGTGTGTGTTTGTTTGTAAAAATTCGTTCGTACAACATGTTCATGTGTGTACGAGTTTGTGTTTTGAAAACGTTTACTGGATGCTATGAATGATAGGAAATTTTCATTGACACGACAGAAAATTAAAATTATGAGAGGTCAAGTTTCAGTTCTGAAACAGTTTGCCATAAAGATGAATAAACTTTCACGATTAACACAATTTGAAAAAAATTTGATAAAAATATACAGATAAGTAGATAGATTAATAAAATATATATTGATGGATGGATGGATGGATGGATGGATTCATGGATAGATGGATGGATGGATGGATGGATTCATGGATGGATGGATGGATTCATGGATTCATGGATGGATGGATTCATGGATGGATGGATTCATGAATTCATGGATGGATGCATGGATTCATTTATATAACTACAGTTATATGAATAGATTAAGGATGGATAAATGGCCAAAAAAGAAAGAAAGAAAGTTAAAAAAAAAGAAAAAGAGAGAATGAGTGAGAGTGTGTGTGCATTATAGATGAAATATTATTAATGGCCTACACAGATTAACCACGCTGCTCAAGAATATTCACGCTTCATTTAACTCGAGTTCCATGGATCGTGTGTGTGTGTGTGTGTGTGTGTGCGTGTCTGTGTGTTTGTTGGTGTGTGTGTGTTTGGGGATGTAGGTTTACGTATGTTTTTACATTTGTATGTTTGAGTATTTCATACAGATTGTTGTTTTTATTAATTTGTTCATCTATTTTTTAAGGGTTTTTTTGTCATTTGTTTTAGTGTTTGTTGCTTCTTTGTCCAGTAATTCATTTGTTGATATGTGTGCTTGTGTGTGCGCGAATGTGTGTGCGCGAATGTGTGTGTGTGTGTGTGTGTGTGTGTGTGTAAATAAAAATGACGGCACACGAGCATGTTAAAAAGCGTGATATGTTGAAACATAGAAACAGCAACAACTCATAAAATATGAGGAGGACATCATCATCTCGTTCAAGATCTGATTGTAAAACGTGTTGGATATCTCTACTGCTCTCTGCTGCTGATGTATGTGTCTTTGTTAGTCTGTCTCTTTCTTTTTCTATCTCTCTCTCTCTCTTTTTCTCCTTGTTTAATCTCTTTTCCCTCTCTTCTATCTTTCTATTATTTTCTTATCTATAAAAACACGAGCAAAGTTTTTTAATTCTTAATACTTCGTCATCTCGTGAAAAGGTTAGAAGCTAAGCTAGATAAAAATAAAGATACAAGTTGTCCATTACCTGTACTGTAAATTTTCAGTCTATTGACAATGTATAGTGAATTCCATTTATTTAGATTTCTTCTTTCATCATCATCATTATCATCATCGTTAGTATCATAATGATAATTATCACTACATGTATTATTCAAGTTTTGTGGCTATTGTCATCATTATCATCACATCATCACATCATCACCATCACATCATTATCATCACTACATCACATGATTATCATTGCACAGGGCAGTAAAAAATCAACTTACGCATATATTTGAATACAAGTTCTTTCTTAGAGGCACACACACACATACACACACACATACATACATACACACATACACACATACATACACACATACAAACATACATACATACATACATACATATATACATACATACATACATACATACATACATACACACATGCAAACACGAATGTTTGTAGACGATAGCGCATATAAACTGTGGAGGCCATGATGAGATGCAGATTAAAACGAGATGTTTCGTGATTGGTCGGTGAGATCATCAATCAGGAACCAATCAGCGATCAGTAGCAGTAGCAGTAGCAGTAGTAGCAGTAGCAGAGATATTATTTAGAGATATGTGTGTAGTTTTGAGAGTGGCAATTTGTGAAAGTAATCTGCTATGCTGCTTTCTGAGGGCCGGTCCAGATGAATAATATGAATAATAATAAGTTGTTTCCATGGAGATTTGAATAATATGAATAATAATAACATGTCGTTTCCACTGAGATTTGAATATGAATAATAATAATAAATAATAATAAATGATATAATTATTTGTTTACAAGGACGTGTGACTTAAATATGCGTATGTGCATTAACTTTTTATCAATAATAATGTAATAACTATGGTATCTGATGATGTTGGTGTTGTTGGCTGGCTGATTTACGGTTACAGTAAATTGAAATAATCGGTATTTGTTGTTGGGCTGATGTTTGTAGCTATGGGTTGATGTTGTTGTTTTTGGTTGATGTTTTTGTTGTTGGGTTGATGTTGTTGTTGGTGGTGATATTGTTGTTGTTGAGTTGATGTTGTTGTTGGGTTGATGTTGTTGCTTTTACTGTTGAATCGATGTTGTTGTTGTTGGGTTGTTGTTGAGCTTATGTTGCTGTTTTTTATACCGTTTTTGTTGTCAAACTTGTAGCAAGAGTGTGCAAACGTACACATTCGCACACGCACAGAATACATACAAAACACAAGCACAACACATGCACAACACATACGCAACACATACGAACGAATCAAACAAGACTGAAACTCATAAATCACCAAGATTCTTCATACATCATTTTCCAATTTTGTTTTCATATGAAATAATTAGAAACCATCTATTGGATTTTTAAAACAACCAACAAATTTTTTGTTGTGAGCGAAAAAGAAAATGTTTCTTCGTTACTATCGTTAGCTTCAAAATCGAGCGTTAAATACAATGGAAAAAATTGTAAAGAGAGAATTTTTTAAGAAATTTATTCTACCATAATTTAAAAATGAATCAATCAACTAACTGACCCTATTGCTAGCTACTTTATGCAAATTGACAAACAAGACTAAGCTGATAATTAGCTCGTCAATAAGCATATATTTTAATCCATCAGTTAATTTTAATCATTCAACTAAACGATTAACTAAAAATAAACTAAGCTGTAATTTAATCAACCATTAAAGTGGCTAATCAAATAGTGAAATATAAATAAATTAAACATCCATTCAAACTATCTTATTTAAGAACCAATCAATTAGAAAAAGCAGACAACTATCCAAAAAAACTATCCAACTAAATAGCTAAAAAAACCTGACAAACCAGCCACTCAACCAACACAATCAAACGTGTCAACTTACCAGCAACCGACCAACCAACACTCCAACTAGCCATCACAAGCAAACTCACTAACCTACCAGCAACTAACTAACACAACAACCAGCCACCACAAATAAGCAAACCAACCTACTAACAACTATCCAGTCCACCAACCTGTGTTTCCGTGAGACATAGTGACGTAGCGACTTCAAACCTCTTAGGCCTAGAAAGGTACTTGCTCATTCTAAACTGCCTCTCCAGTTCCAAGAGTTGCTGGCTTGTGAACGCTGTACGTGGTCTTCTTGTCTTTCCGAGAAGAGATTGCTGCTGGGCTGTTTGGGTGGGGGTTAGATGATGGGAGGTTTATGATTGGTTGGTGCTTCAACGAAAATTTCAAAAAAATTAACATGGGAAAAATTCATATAATGCACCGTCTGTACACTACTATTCAGGTATGAATTAGTTAATAAATTCTATGTTCAGTCACATGTGTGTGAGAGAGAGAAAGAGTTTGCATACGTGTTAGTGCGTGTCTGTATGTGGTGTGTGTGTGTGGTGTGTGTGCGTATGTGTGTGTATATGTGTGTAAAAAAATGCTACACAGTCAAATATGAACACACATAAAACAGGACGTTGTAGCAGATATGATAAAGGATATCTGATTAGGGACAAGTTTGCGCGGAATGCAAGGCAGCCTACAACATCCCGCATTAATTCATTGGCACAAGCTCCTACTTCCGCCGCGACTTATGAATCTATAACATTTATTTCCACAGCTCCATCTTATCCGACACGCAATATCTTTGATTGTTATGTTGTCATTTGTTTGCTCGTTTGTTCGTTCGTTCGTTTGTTTAGTTTAGTTGTTTGTTCGTTCGTTTGTTTAGTTTGTTTGCTCAGTGGTATGGTTCTTTATATTTTACCATTATGTTTGTATTCGTCAAGTGCTTCGTGTTTCAAAGTTTGTTTATTGAAGTTTAGATTTAAAACTAAACAAATTAATTTAAATCATGCCATTTCTAATTTGGAGTTTTAATAAATATTATCAATATTATTTATTGTTCTTTGTCAAACATCATGGCAGACATTGCATAGAAGCACGCGCAATTATACATACATACAGCCACGGAACTCCACCCAAATCTGGACGTTGGGAGTAAAAATCTTCACTTGGGTTAATTTTTTAATTGATTTAGAATTTTTTAAATTTAATAAGATGGGTGGTTCCGCTAATGTCATCGGCAACAAATGGTCTTTAATTTATTGATAGCCACCAAAATTAAAATTGTTTCTACTAGTTTTCCCATAATTAAATTTCTCATCCTAAAGAGTTGACTCAACTGCAAGCACACACTCACGCACGCACGCACACACACACACACACACTCACACACTCACACACACACACACACTACTATACGTATAAATATATATACTTACGAGTAAAATTCGCATTTGTAAAGTCACAAGCTAAAAGTATCCCAAACGTGAATGAAATTGGAAATGTATGGGAGCTTTCAGGCAAGATTAATTAGTTGGTCTGACTGCGAAAAAGTTCCGTGTTGAATGTTTTTGGCCTTTTGTGTATGTTTGTGAGTGTGTGTGCGTGTGTGTGTGTGTGTGTGTGTGTGTGTGTGTGTGTGTGTGTGTGTGTGTGTGTCTGTGTGTATGTGTAAGTAGAAAAATGAAAGAGAGAAATAAATGGATAGTTATATAGATAAATGGGTGGATGGAATAGCCAATCTGATGGATGGACCGAAAGATGAAAAAAATATTTGATAAAATGGTAGTAGATGAAGTTGCGTGGAGTGGCATTGATAAGATGATCTCGCGCTCCCACACTAATCCTCGCTCATTTCCGAGATCTTGTAAAGCTAATGGCGTGGAAATGCAAAATTAAATTAACAAACTA